TAACCTCTATCTCAGGCTCGTGCTAACGCACACGGCTCAGTATATACGGGCAACTGCAACACGAAGGCTCACGTGTGCAGAAGATTGCTCGATGTCGCACGAGCTGGGTTTCAAGTTACAATAAATTATTGAAAATGTTTTTCTACTCGATTGTTTTCGTATATCTGACACTCTCGAAATGTTCTCGGATAAACATACTCGCCGAGTTCTTCCTAGATAAGAACAAAGGTCGTTCATTCCGCTTTCCGAAGTTCAATATTTTTCTTGAAATGATAGACTTGGAATTTTTTGACGTCACGTCAAATATCGGTATAGTAACAGACACCGGATCGCTACCGGCGCCGAAAAACTAGCTTGATAATATTTAAGGGCTGCGCTTGCCACGCGGTGCTCAGCCTTTGTCTCGATCCTTGTCTTAGTCGCAGTCTCAGTCTAGCATAATAACGATTACGCAGTAACACGATGAGCTCACTATTCAGTCTTCAAGCTTCTCTCTACAGTCATCACACACTGTAGCGATACACGTACGCAATACTCAAACAGTAAGCATTCTAACAATACAATAGTGAAGCGACATTATCAGAATTCGTTAATCAAGCTTAAACGAATAACGCGCTAATGCTAACATAATCGAGAGTGAATTATCGAATCATACTATATATATTAACGGATCAGACCGATACTAAGATAGCAGCAAAACGGTCCCCCTTTAGAAAGCTTCGGTACGACAGTGGCGGCTCTCACGGATACTACTACGGCGGCACTTCTCGGAAGGGAAGGAGTCACTCCTCACATCACGGAGAGTATACACACTGTCCTCAGCACGTAAACCAATTGAAGAAACTTCCCCAAATTATTTGCTCACACCATCATTCATACATTTTATGATCATTAACTATTTATTATATTATTACATTTAATAAAGGAAAGACAAGAAACACTGCATGTATTATTGAATAATTGTTTGCCCCTTCCACTTGCCAGCAACACCTCCACCCACTATCAAAGGGAGGTTTATTAGTCTGACCCAGGCACATACACTTAATACATATTTATAATAATAAATTATAATAATAAATAATAAATATTATTAATAAATTTATAATATTTTCCATTCATTTATAAAATATATTTTCAAATATCAATAGATTAATTTGTAAAATGAGATTTTCGTCATAAGACATAAATAATGTTCAATTAGTAGTGTCTGGGGTCAGGCTAAAAACCTACCTGCGATGTTGGGTGGCAAATGCAATTATTCAATACTGTCTTTAAAGTTTATTGTCTTTCCCTTCATTAAATATAATAAATATAACAATTAGATGATGGTCATAGGTGTCTGAATGAAGGTGTGAGTGAATAAATAGATGAAAGTTTCTTCAATTGGTGTAAGTGACGATGAAAGTGTATGTGTACTCTCGTTAGAATGAAGTGCAATTGCTTCTCCTTACAAGATGAATTGCTGCAATAGTAAACGCGCAACTGGAGGGGCGAGTAAGCCGATGCTGCCTTAGCCGCCGGTGCAGTGTGAGCGCCGTTGTTGTCGATGTGGTGGAGAAGATGTCCGTGTTGCGTCACTGCTTGCGTGAGCGGGAGGTTCACTCGTAATCGCAGGTGTAGTGTAAATGCCGGTAGTGTGTGTTACTTACGTGAGCGTTGGGCCGTCTTTATACTTGTGGCTGTGAGTAACGTCCGTGATGCGTTGCTGTTTACGTAGGCAATGAGAGCCGATATAGTTGTGGTCGTAAGGAACGTCTGTGATGCGTTGCTGCTTACGTTGGCGATGAGAGAAGTTCTTTAGATTGTTTGATGTTTGAGATGGCTATCGTAATGGCGATTGCAGGTAGAATGGCGAGCCCGTCGTAAAGAGTGCGTGATTAGTACTAGCAAGAGAGATGCGCGTCAAGCGCTGCTCTTAAATATTCTCGTACGAGCTTGCGACACCGGTAGCGACATTGTACTATAGTTTGTACTGCTATTTTATTAATAAAGTATTATTTGTATCAACATATAATATAAAATATAACAATTCTAGAATATATTTTACAACAAATGTTCATTTTGTTAAAGTATTATTGTCATTTAGTATGAAATATGATAAATTTTGTTCTCAATGTATTTGTTCAGGCGATATGATAATTAAGCCGTTGATTTATATAAAAAAATTTAGCTATTACAAAGTAAATCCTTTATAGATCGGCGATTCATTATTATAAATATTAGTAATAACATGTATTAAAGGTTATGTTAACTGTATGGTTAAAGTAGCGAATATCAGTTTAAACCAGATCATAATCAAAAAATTTCACAGCAATGAAAAGATAAAAAAGAAATTCAAACATGAATTTAATTAATTTAATTTATTCAATCAATAAATTTCAAAATCAATTCGGAATGACTAGTCCGCGTGACGTAACTTTTGCTGAGAATAGAATCAGTAACGACTATCATGAAATATATAATAATACTACAGTAAAAGTGGGATAATAATATTGAAATATTGAAAAGTATATTTAAATAAAAATTTGATTAGTTACAAAATTAAAGGAGGAAGTATATTTACAGTGAAAAAAATAAAAATAAATTTACTAAAATAATATCACAGGGCGGCTATTTTTATAAAATATAATTACAAATATTAATAACCCTGTAAATTCTAGTCTAGCTGGAAGCGTATTGTAGATAGCAGGGCCCCGTAGGAGGCTCCTCCCCTCGTAAGCTCCACCCAATATAAGGGAAGATTAGCCTTATTGGAGGAGCATGGCAAATGGCGGTGCTTGGTAGAGGTATTATCAAAGTCTGTATCGCTGAAGGCATACCGCGAGCGAAGTTGCGCTCCGTAGCAATAAAATGATAATTATCCTACTGGAGATGCATGGCAAATGGCGGCGCCCTGTAGCGGTATAATCAGTATCGCTAAAGGCTTACCGCGAGCGAATTTGCGCTCTTTAGCAAGAAAATGTTAATTAGTCTTGCTGGAGGCGCATGGCAAAATGGCGGCGCCCGTTAGCGGTATAAATGAGAATCAATATCGCTGAAGGTGTACCACAAATGATTTTGCGCCCAATGGCAATAAATGATAATTAATTATTAGCAGTGTACCTTGCACAGATCCTTTTTGACGGAGGCGTGTAGAAAGCATAGAACTTCACCAGATATGACTTGCACAATTTCTTCTAGACTCACTCAACAAAACTGGTGGTTCGGCACGCGCTACTCTTAATATATGCGAGCGCGTTGTCGTTATTCTGGCAGTAATGACTTAGTGTTACTATGCCGAAGTTCCCGTGTGACGGTAGAAATTTCACTTCCAGAAATTTCTTTCAAATTGTCGGAAGGCAAGCTTTTACCAGTTGGAGACTTCTACTATAGTTACTATGCGGATAATGGGTGAACATTACAGAACATTCTCAAGCAAAGGCTTTAATTTTATCGAGAATTTTCGTAGGCAACGTTTACGACATTGTGAGCTATAACTATTACAAATTTGTAGAATTGATATTTTAATGTTAGGTGCTCCAATCCTAAACAGCAACAAATATAAGAAGAGTGTTCAAATATATTATTAATTTTCTTAATCGATTAGGCAATAATATTTAAACTTAAACAATAAATATTTTAAAATACGGATTTTGATTTGTAAATATTCAACTTAAAGAATATCTTTTTAAAAAAATTAGAATAATGTTTTAATAAATAAACATTGGTTATAAGTAATATAAGTAATAATAATATATAATAAATAAATAAAAGCATTCGATTGAATATTTGATTTTTTCATATTTACTCTCAGATGTAAACTAAGTAGATATTTCTGATTATTCAAGCTATAAGTCACATTGATCCAATTAAGCAAAAGGTGTATCAGACAACAATAAAAATATAAAATATTACGATTGTATTCTAAAAAACATCTTCAGTTGACTTTTTAATCGCTATAGAAAAATATAATTACATATATTTAATTGAAACGTTAATATGTATAAAAACGTTAATATAAAATAATTTATACGTTAATATATAATTTATAAAGTAATTATTTGCAGTCATAGTTAATTTCTAAATAAATTAATTTGTTCATTAAAAATTTGAATAAATTATTTTTACAATAATTATTATAAACTACTATTAAAATCTAAATATATTTTTATATAGTATACTTCTAAACAATTATGTATAAAAATATTGCATTAGCGTGCAATAAAGATAAAAATTTAACATAAGTAAATTCATCAATAAAAATACAGATATTGGTAATAATAGTAGTACTTAATACGCAACATAATGCATTTAGAGGTCCCTTTTATAAATTTTTTTATCGTTCAGTATACAGTTTTTTATGATTATACAAAATTAAGATTTATAGAAAATTAAGGAAATTAAATTATTGAATTTTTGTTATTTTATATATGTTAAACGTAAGATTTAAAATGATTGGAAATATAAATTTTATATAATAATATATAATAATAATATAGATAACTGGATATACACACCTAGAATTATATAAAATATATTAAATATTATTGAATTCTTATTTCTGACTTCATACTAAAATTATATATTACAATAATACATAATAATACATAATAAACAAAAATGTAATTATAAAGAAATTTTTCAAATTATAATTTATTATTTATAAATTATATTCATTAATTTATTATTAGCATTTGGATTATATATATATATATATATATATGCACACCTACATATGCCTACTAATTTATTATTAGCATTTGGATTATATATATATATATATATATATGCACACCTACATATGCCTACATGCACATGCATATATACACATATTTTATGATAGCATAAATTTAACAATGGATATATAAATATTTCTAATAAAGTGCTGTTATATGAATACGAATAGTTTTAGTTGTGTTCAATATCGACTAACACGTGGGAAGTAACATATTATTATAGATCACATGTAGCTATTGTTTTATATATTTCTTTAATGTATTTGTTAAACATATTTTGTAAAAATGGCTACTCCCAATAAAAAACGTGGAATTCAACGTAAAAATAACGAAAAAAGTAATAAAATCGAGATTGAAGAAAGTGAAGTCGATTTTGTAGAAGAGGTTCGTTTAACTTGGTTCTTTTTTAATTCACGAAAATATGTGTTCGTGTAGTGATTTAAATTTGTTATCATGAAATATGTACAAATCAACGAATTGAAAAATACTAAATTGATAAGAATTTTATTTTACGCCAAATAAATATTTAATATTTTAAAAACATTTGGAAAAATATGTGATAAATAATAATAATTAATTAATTTATAATAATTATATTGATTAATAATAATTAATAATGTATTCTTCTTGTATTTGTCAAGTATCGTAACTTTCTCAAATATTTTTTAACGTTGGTTTAATCTAAAATTATTAAATATGTATGATTATTTATAATTTCATTACTTTTGGAATGAAACATACATTTCAAAGTTGCTCATTATTTAATGTTTTTGAATTATATATATATAATTCTAAACAAGATAACCTATAAAATAAAATTATTTAATTTTACATGCGTTATTGAATTATATATAATTTCTAATTTTGTTTAGGATACAGAAATTCAAGTAGATTTTGAAGGACATATTCCTCAGGATCCAGATTTTCATGGAATAAAAACTTTATTACAACAACTTTTTCTAAAAGCTCAGATAGATTTATGTAGTTTAACAAATTTGATAATATCTCAAAATTATATTGGATCGGTTGTTAAACAATCACCTGATTTTCAAGAATCTGATAATGAGGATATGAATGATGTATTTAGCATTACAACAGTTGTCAATCTTTCTGATAAACGGGTGAGTATTTTATATTATATATGATTGTTATTATTTTCTTCAATAATTCAATAATACTTTTCAATTATTAATTAAATTAATTTTTGTTTTCAGAATGATCTGTGCATTCAACAGTTAAGAAACTTATTAAAAAACCTTACTAATGAATATGCTATGTATCCAACAAATGCCATAATTCAAAATGTCCTTGAAAATGATTCTATAGTTGTGGGTTTACTAATCAATGAGCGCATTGTCAACATTCCAGTACAGATCTCTATACCACTTCTTGAAAATCTTATATCAGAAATTGAAAGTGCAATTAATAAAAATATGCCATTTCACTTTACGTATTATATACTGATTTGCAAACAATACAAAATAAATAAAGAAAATCAAACAAAACAAAATAAATTCAAAGGAAAAGATACAATACCAGAATCAAATATAATTTGGAGCAATCCAGAGGAAGAGATATTTGCTCAAGAAGCAACATGCAGTTTTGAATTCAATGTTCAGAAGGAAACGGATAGTGCTTTGTCAGGTAGATGGACGGAAAATGATTATGAAATGATACCTTACAGACAAGTATTATTAATTAAAGCTTCAAAATTGCAACAGATACTAGAGAAAATTAAGATACAGCTTTCATGAATTTATATGTACATATTCTGTTATATTTAAAATTATTTTTTTTTACAAAAAGTTTATTTTCCTTTTGATTGCATGTAATAGTAATAAATAAAACAATATGATAATATTTTGCATATATAATCAAGATGAACATTTATACTTTCCACAAAAAAATTTATATGTTTATAAAAAGAAAAGATATATACTTGTATTTTACAACATCAATATATAGTATTAATTTCTTAAAATTATTAAATGTTAATATTATTTTAAGTATATTGATTACAGCTGATGATCTAATTTTTGCTTCTGATTGTTTTTATTCTTTATGTTACACAATTGATTTTATTTTACAATAAAAATTATTTTTAAATATTATTAATCAGGTATAATTAACAGATCTAATTAACTTTTTTTCAGTTTTATAACAATTTATGTACAATTTTAGAAAGTATTTGACTAGACTTATTTTTAATGTAAACATAAATTAATCTACAAAAAAAATAAAGTAAAAATCCATAACAAATTCATATAATTTTATTTGAGTTTTCATAAATTATTTTATTTTACATTTTGTTATAAATGATTGTGCAAAATATTGTGAGATGAATTTAAATATTTTCATTATTTCATATTTTTACAAATAAATATCATTTAAGCGTGAAACAATTTATGTTTATAAACACGTTAAAAATGCTATTACATAATTTATTACCAGATTTAACTCGTCTTATATTTACTTCTGCTGGTGCCAGTATATTGTTCTAAGTATTGTTTGTTTTGTATTTATTTGTAATTTGAATTAATTGATTTGAAAAATGATTCTCTTTTTTTTTTATCTAAATAACAGTAACCGCAAATTTGTCGAATAATCAGCAAACTCTTCGTAATTCAACGGTACATACGGAATTTTATTTAAAATTTTAGTTATAATGTGTTTACCGAGATTTTTTTGAATAATTAACTTTTTTAGATAAATGATATTTTGCTTGACTTTTATTTAATAATGTATACATTTATCAAAAATTGAATGCCGTCATCTCTAGAATTGATTATTTTGTTAATTTTATTATTCAGTTTTTGACAATATTTATAATTTTTATTAGCAATCTTTTTTGAAGATAATTGATTCCGTTTACAGTTTTTTAAATATTCTTTATCAACATTTGAATCAGTATTGTGTACTGCATTTGTATACTTTTATTTTTTTAAACTATTTTTAATGATCCTATTAGATTGTCTTTTGTATTTCTTTTTATTTCAATTGCGGTTTATTTTTTATATTTATTTTTACTATAGAATTTAATGTTTAACAAACTATTTTATGTAGTTGTACTGAATTAAAAATCATTAAAAAAAATTAATCTATAACTATTGAACTATTTTTTGATTGATGATAAAAAAAATGTTGATGCTTCCTATTATATTCAAATCTTTTATATCACAAAATTCTTTCTATTAGAATTGAGACAAGTCGATTTTTCGAATCGAGTACTCTTAGTCCTCAGTACTTAAGCACTTCTACATGTAATTACCGTTTTACCGATACCAAAAGATACAGTCATATTGTCCGATAGATATACTACGAAAATTCCTTTGTTTATAGACTATTCTGTTGCATCACATCTTTTCTTTATGTATATAAATACATTTATATATATATATATTTAAATTTTTTTTTCGTAATAGAAACAGACAATAAATAATTGGTATTTAGCAACAACTTTAGAAATTTAAAAGTAAGTTATAGTAAGTCCTTGACATCGAAAGAATGTGCGATCCGAGACTAATAATTTAAATACAATTATTTACAAATTTTATTAAATAGTTTTTGAAAATTTAAATAGAAGATTTTACATTGAATTTATGCAACCTTTTGAATTATTATTATTAACTCGGTGAAATGAAAGATCAATTTATCTAAAATAAATCTTATTTTATACAAGAATTAATAAAGCATTTGCAATTACAGATTCTGAAAAAATGTGTTAGTTTTCGTAATTTTATATTAATTATATGCTATATAACAACAGAAAATTATATAGACTGTATCTGTAATTATTAAGTATTTAAATAGAACTATGTTTGAAGTTCTTTGTATATAGTTTAGTCTTCTTAAATATAGTTTTAATCAATTCAATTACTATTTATTATTAAAATTCATTGGAAATGTATTATCTATATAAAAGTGAATTGTTCAGGATTGGCGCATCCACCCAAAACAATTTATAATTCAATTAAAATTAAATAATTATAATCAGAAAAATTCGCTATGAAAATTCTCGGCAAACGTTAAAGCCTTTGCCTAATAAAGTCCTGAAATATATCCGCATAGCAACTACGCAAAAGCCTCGAGCCGGCTAAAGCTTACTTTCCGAGAATTGAACAGAATTTCCAAGAACTGAAACTCTAGCGACACGCGAGAAGGCTTCGGCGTAGTAATACCAAAGGTATTAGTGCCAGACTCTAAATCTACGCAACCATATAAAAAGAGCAGCACAAGTCGAAGCAAATCGGTCTTGTTGAGTAAGTTAAAGTGAAATAGTGCAAGTCATACCTAATAAAATTCTACACATCTGTCTACGGGAATCCGTGCAAGGTATACTCATTTGCTTACATTATTTATTGCTGGCCAGCTAGCGGTGCGTCCTCCGCAACTTGACTCTTGACAGACCACATTGAGGGCGCCGGTATAGCCGGGCATCACTAGTAAACTATTTATATAATTTATTATTATTGCAGCGCAGCGCCGACATTATCAGTAAGTCCTCTATATCTTGATTATTATCAGATCGCTAAAGAGGGCGCCGATACTGTCTGGTAGCCCCGTAATTCTTATCATTATTGCAGCAAAGCGCCCACATTATCGGTAAGTCCTCTGTAACTTGATTATTATCACACCGCTAAACAGGGCGCTGATACTGTCTGGTAGCCCCCGTAATTCATATCGCAAAAGACAGCGCCTATTGCTCACGCATCTCTCGAGAGCTTAACTCCCAGAATTACCGTTACGTTCCGCTAGTACAATAAAACGCCTGCAGTATAAAAAACCAGTCTCTCCTTGCACACTCGGACGACGTCCGGCAGTTTCTTTGCCAACTGTCAGGATCACGACGAGCTCAACAATTCTCATAACGATCAATAAAAACAACTATCAATTGTAACATAACCTTAAATAAAAGTCACTAAAACCAATTGTGCTTGTACTGAATTGATGCATTAACCTATCACTCATCCCTCTTTCCACCATTAAATCGGTGGTACGGTTTAATCCAACCACCTTGGTCTCCTGACCATCGGTGGCTGGAATTCCAAACATTAATTATTTGATTTATTTAAAAAAATACAATTCTTTAATTTACTTTTTTGTTAATAACTGCTTTTATTTATTAAATATTTTTTAACTCGAATAATTATAATTTTTCATATAATTTTTTTTCACTTAAAAGTGAACAATCAGTAGAATATAGAACAATGAAAATAAATATTTAATGACATTTACAAACGCACCACATTAATATAAACTTTTATTCTTGAAAGAATATTTTTTAAAATATTTTATAATATAAAATATTTAGAAATAAGATAAAATCTTAAAATAATATAATATTTATCCTAGGAATTGCCGTTATATGACAGTATGGATCGAACTACTAATCTTAAAATATTTCCAGATAAATATAACATTTGTCTCGCATTTAAAAGATTTAGAACTAGACATTTAAATACATCTGAATCCTTTATATTAAAGTAAGCTTATTAATAACAGCGAACCTGTTCCGCGGATATGTGATAATTTTTTTCCAACATTTGGTCCTTCGAACTGGATAGTAGAGCTAATGCATTACTTCAGTATTAACACAGGGATGGACGTGTCATTTATCTAAGAGTGCACCATTAAAACTTTTATTATTTCAAACTACTATTACCAACTGAGCTGTTCCGCTACAAGGCCAAGCGTCAACTCGCACCAAGGAATTATCTCGCTGGCAAGTAGTCAATTGGTTCTTCTTCTAGGACACTAAATCATTATCACAGAAAATGCCAAATCACAAGAATAAGGAACCCGAGAATTCCACGAGCCCTGACGCACGGATAACGACAGAAGCAGAACACCGCATGACTCGCAGCGCAATCGCAGTGCGATTATTCACCGTACTCACGTTGAAAGCTCAAGGGCAATGGAATCGGATCAGAGCAATTAAGGTGATAGGGGAAGAACTTCCAAAGCCCCATTTGAAATATTTCCATAGAAGAAGTCCAAGGCGCACGAAAACGAGTCAACGAGCTTCACAAGGCGTTTAATAAGGAACGAGCCTAGTTAAAGGATTCATGACCAACAACCCTGATACATCAGGAATATTTTGCAAAGAATGCGCAAGGAGAAGAATTCAGGAGCTACAACCACGTACAATCCGCACTCGACAAGCTGCGTTGGGAGATAAGGGAGGCAGCTCAAACACCATTTAGAGCCTCAAAATCATCCAAGGATGTTTCTTCCAATGAGTCTTGAGCCAAGAGCCGAGAGCCGAGAGGTATGAGAATTCGCGATTGTACGTGCAATCCCACTTGCAACAACTCCTTGCCAACACTACACAAGTAGAAGATGAGGCTGAATCACTAGAAGACCTCATTCGTGACGCAAAAGATCACTAAAGAGCTGCAATAACTAGAACTGGAAAGAAACTTCTGGAACTGCATAACTGTCCATCAACTAACGCAACGACTCACTCATCGTACAAGAGAACAATGGGAAGAATCACTAGGCGAGTCCAACATCTATCCCAAATTCGAGTAATTAAAAACATTTATAATGACAAGAGTGAGAGCGTTAAAAAATAAAAAACGAGTTGCTACAATGCAAAGCCGTACCCAGACACAACCATCCACAAAATGATCAAGGAGAACGTACTAATCACCTGTTGCAATGACTTTCCAAGGCAAACAAGGATGCCAAACGCAATAGAATATAGAAACAATCAATAGAATATAAAACAATGAAAATAGATATTTAATGACATTTACAAACGCACAAAATTAATATAAATTTTTATTCTTGAAAGAATTTTTTTTTAATGTTTTATAATATAAAATATTTAGAAATAAGATAAAATCTTAAAATAATATAATATTTATCCTAGGAATTGTCGTTGTATGACAGTGTTGATAGAACTACCAATCTTAAAATATTTCCAGATAAATATAACATTTGTCTCACATTTAAAAGATTTAGAACTAGACAATTAAATACATCTGAATCCTTTATATTAAAGTAAGCCTATTGATAATAGCGAACCTGTTTCGCGGATATGTGATAATTTGTTATTTATTTATTTAAATGCTGTATATAAAAAATATTGTGATTATATCTTACATAATGCAAGAAATAAGTTTTGATCTTTATTGTGAAACTTCTTAATAAATTCTATAATTCATCGTAGGCAAAACTTTAATAAAGATTAATCCATGTACTACTCTAAGTTTGTACAACTAATGACTTAACCTCACTTGTAATTATGTATCTCCCTATTGTTTTTTCCCCTCATTCGGAGAATCTAGTCTAATTTCCTGATCTTTGCGTAATAATCCTATTACTTCATTCATACTCTTTGTATAGATATTTATACAAATTTTTAATGTTATTTGTTTAAATTTTGAATGATTTCCTTTTATTTGAATAATTCGTGAGAAAGTATTTAGTTGCTTGAAGCAGCCAATGTTAATAATAGGATTAATTACTTTCAAATAAAACGTTTAAATTTTATAATAAACGTTTAGTTTTCGTCATACGCCATGGGTAATCAGCTGGTAGGAATAGCTCCAAGCCAAATTTTTCCAGTTGAACATTATTTGACAGATCACAGTGATCTTAGATTTGATATAAGGTAGGCAATAAATTAATTGAATTGTCAACCACTTACTGAAACTTAGCTGAAATCATACTCATGTATAAATAGTTAATTTACAAAAATTAGACAATTTTAAACAATTAATTAATATTAATGTATTTGAAAATTCATTTCATAAACAGTTTTTAATTCCTAATTGAAAGTTTTAGTTTGTTTTTATTATATTACTATAAATATATTGTTATACTTTTTAATTAAGTTTTAAATTTTATCAGTTTATTTTGCTGGTAATCTTTTGTTTATTTTAAAATTTTTGTAAATAAAAAATACATTTTGTTTATATATTTTATAATTTTTTTTATTAATGATATAAGGCTTTATCTTATAATAAATAGCTTGGGAAGTACAAGATTTTTTAAGGTAGCTAGAGCTCAAAGTCAAGAAGGTTTACTTGTAGTGAAAGTATTTGCAATACATGATCCTACTTTGCCTTTGCTATCCTATAAAGATAAATTAGAAGATATAAGATCAAAACTAGCCTCTGCTGTAAATTGTTTACCATTTCAGCGAATGATTGTAAATATTTTTTTCTATTTAATTATGTTTTATGTTATTAGAATTATTTAAAAATTATGTTAAAATAGTTGACAGAAAAAGCTGGCTTTATTATGAGAGAGTACATGAAGTATTCTCTATATGATCGCATTAGTACTAGACCTTTTTTATCAATTATAGAAAAAAAGTGGATTGCATTTCAAGTATTATATGCTTTGCATCAAGCACATAAATTTGGTATCTGTCATGGAGATATTAAACTTGAAAATATTATGATAACTAGTTGGAATTGGGTTCTTTTAACAGATTTTGCGAGTTTTAAACCAACATATTTACCAGAAGATAATCCTGCTGATTTTTCTTATTTTTTTGATACATCTAGAAGAAGGTAAATATATAAAATATATTAAATTTTATTTACTTTGTTTTTTATAATTGAATTATTAAATTTCAATTATATATTCAATTATATATTAATATATGTTTGATTATACTTTCATAAAAATTAATAATAAATGTAGAATATTCTTTTTAATTTTTTATTAAATTTTCCCATAGAACTTGCTACATTGCACCTGAACGTTTTGTTAAAACATTAACTACAGAGTTTAATAATACTTTACTTTTTCCTGAACAAGAGCTTAAAACAGGTGATTTACATCCAATGATGGATATTTTCTCAGCAGGTTGTGCTTTAACAGAATTATATAATGAAGGACATCCTCCATTTGATTTTTCCCAACTTTTGGGTGAGTTATTAAATAAATTTAAGAAACTGTCAATATTAATTTTTTTATGTTATTTATTAATTTATCTAATAACATTTTAAATGTATGATAACAATACATGGTTATTTCTAATAATGTTTTTATTACATGAATATTTTGATTAAAACTAGTTTTATAAATACAATAAAAATTATTAGAATAAATATATATTTGTATTATTTTAATTTTACTTAAATAAGAAAAAAACAATATTACTAAGATGGAGATTGAAATATTTAAATATTATCCAAATTTATATATTGATTTTTAGCTTATAGAAATGGTGAATATTCTGCAAATAAACATCTTGATAATGTAGACGATTTAGGGATTAGAGAGTTGTTAACTTCGATGATAGAAAAGAATCCAGTGAATCGCAAAAGTGCTGAACTTTACTTATCTCAAGCACGTGGAAAAGTATTTCCAGAATATTTTTATGGATTTTTACAATCATATATGCAGATTTTCTCAGCTGCCCCCATTCTGTCACCTGATGAGAAAATTAACAGATTGAAAAAAGATATTAACAATATTACTAATATGTTTAAAAAACAAAATAAAATAAAGGAACAAGTCTTAGAAAATTTTAAGTTAAGAAATGATAGAAACATAAACTTTGAAAAAGTTATTTTTGATCATAGTAAAAAAAATATTATTACAAAGAATGATAGTGAAAAGAATTTAGCGAAAATTAAAATAGAGATAAAAGATATTCCGAAATTAAATGCATCAAATTCTTTAATAAATGATAACTGGGACAATAGTGTAAAAACAAAAAATTGTAAAAACAATTTAGAATCAATTAATACCGAGGAAGGTTTAGTTATTATAACTCAACTTGTCACCTCTTGTATACGAGGATTACATCATTCACAGTCTAAACTTCAAAGTCTTGAAATATTACTTGAGTTAGCTGATAATACATTTGAAGAAACAATTTTAGATAGAATTTTACCTTTCATTGTCAGTATATTGTTACGAATAATTAATTCTAATTAATTTTAATGTACCAAATAATACAATGTAAATAAGTATACAAATGCAATATATATTTTTAATACACTTTTACTTTAAATAATAATTAGCTATTATAATTTTTTTATTTAATAATTATATTTCTGTTTTAAATTTATATTTTTACCTCAGTTTCATTTAGTTCACGACCCATCACCAAGAGTCAGAGTATCAGCTATTCATACATTAACAAAATGTCTTTATCTTGTGAAAACGATTCCACCATCAGATATAAATATTTTCCCAGAATACATATTCCCTGGATTAGCTCACCTTACCCAAGATGAGGCAGTAATTGTCAGAGCTTCATATGCAGAAAACATTGCCCATTTAGCTCATATTGCCCTTCAATACTTGGAAAAATCTCACGTTTCAACAATAGAAAATAAAGAAATATTGAGATCAAGTTATGATATTGAACTTCAGACTTTGCATGAAATGGTAATGTACATTGATTGTGTGATAATTTATAAATTTGTAATTAATGGATAATTTAAAAAAATTAAATAACAGGTACAACAATCAGTGTCAATGCTATTAACAGACCAGCAAAATTTAGTAAAACAAACTTTGATGGAAAATGGTATAAATAAGTTATGTGTTTTCTTTGGTAAACAAAAAGCAAATGATGTTTTATTAAGTCATATTATTACATTTTTAAATGACAAAGATGATAAGCAATTAAGAGGATCTTTTTTTGAATGCATTATTGACGTAGCTGCTTATGTTGGGTGGCATTGCAGTCCAATATTGATGCCTTTACTTCAACAAGGATTGACAGATCCAGAAGAATTTGTAACAACTAAAGCTATTAATGCAATGGCTACATTAACAGAACTTGGACTTTTACACAAATCAGCTTTATATCAATTACTTCTGGAAACTGTAGTTTTTTTAGTAAGTTATTTTAATTTTTAGTATTAAATAATAAAAAAGAAAGACTATAAGAATAGAAAACTTATTAATATTTAAATTTTTAATGATATAATTTATTTACATTAGTAATAAAATTATTTAAAAAGTTGATAATTATTTATTTATCAAGAGACTTAGAACGTTATTGTATATTTTTAAAATGAAATCTTGTTTTTATAAATTAATTTGTGAACTTTTCACACCGTAAATAATATAATTAGAAATAATTTTTCTTATAAAAGCAACAAGGTTTTAATTTAATTTTATAGGTGCATCCTAATTTATGGATTAGACATGCAACTGTTGGATTTATATCAGCTGCAGCACGAACTCTCAATATAGTTGATGTACAATGTAAAGTTCAGCCAATGATACAGCCATATTTAAAGAATCATCTTATACAAATAGAAACAGAAGTTTTACTATTAGAAGCATTAATCAGTCCAATACCTCACATAGTTTTTGATTCTGTAATAAAATACCATGATATCGAAGAACTTTTTCATGTTTTTGAACAAAGACAAGCTGCCAGAGCTAAAGCTATCACTGGTATAGTTCCACAATACAATGATATGAGTACAGCCTTACGTAATGTAAGTACAAGTTAAAATATTAAATTATTATAAATATTATATAAATATATAAATAATAAATAATTAGATATGCATAAATTTTATATAATTGATTGGTATACGTTTCGTACACAACAAATTTTGTTAAATTTTTACAGGATTTATAATTTAGCTTAATTTTAATTTATGTCGTAGGAATGTTATTTTGAGGTTTTTATTTATTTAAATTATGTATACATAGTACTATTTAATTATTAGTAAAAATGTTCAATGTTAAATAAATTTGAAGTATTGTAATATATGTAAAGTAGTATTAAATTATGAAAGCTGCGAAGTAAAAATTTGAAAATTATTCATTTAATAAAGATAAATAAACAAAAAAGTACAAATATAAAATAACAGAAAGAAAGATGTATGTATTTGTCAATTATTTATAATATATAAAATTATAGCTGTTTAGGCGTCTAAATTCTGAACCCATGACTGAAACTGTTGAAGATCAATTAATAATGATGAAATCTCATTTGCTGAAAATTAATAAATACCGTAATTTAGTAGATGCTAAGTTTCAACTCTCACCTTCAGATGGCAAAATAGAGCTTGGATCAATGAAACATAAAATTAGTCACCATATTCTTATACTTTATCCTGATATCAAAGGAGACATAAGTCTTCCATCAATAAAAAAATTAGATCGCAAAACATCTGACAGTACTGCTACTTATGCAACAATGAATCAGGAATGGCGCACAATGTTTGCTGCTCATAATATGCAGGTAAACTTTTATTTAAATGGCTATTTAATTTATTATAATCTGAATGTGTAATTAAATTATTATTAATTTTTTAGAAAAAATTTACTTACATAAACATGTGGTATAGAAAGACCATTTTAGATATTAAACATTAATATATTTACTTTATATATCTTGAATTTTTAAAAAAGATATATATTTGTATTTGTACATCATAATTGTACAAAACTCAAGATATATAAAGTAAATATATTAATGTATAATATTTAAAATTGGTCTTTCTAAACCATTTATTTATGTAAGAATATTGAATTTATAAGATTTTATGTATTTTTTTGTCACATAAGTTATATGTGTAAAACTAATGAAATATATTTTTACAAATATAATTTTTAGTTTATTACATTTATCCTTATTTTGAATAAAAATAGTCAACAAATACTAGCACATATCTAAAATGTACGTATTAATTAAAAGTACATTTATTATTATTATAACTAACAATATTAATATTTTATTATTATTTATGAATAAAATATTTCGCTAAAATTAATATTTAATTAATTTATTTATTTTATAATGCAATAATTATGTTCGTTTAGCATTCTGTTGTAAAAATTTCTGATATGTCTACAAACAGTGGTAGCCCATGTCAAAGTATTCATAGTAGTGAAATTTATCTGTCTCCACAACATAGTTTAACAGAAACTATGACTAGTATCAATGATCACTCACTTCATGAACGTTCTTATATACAATGTAAGTAGGTCGTAATGACTTTAATTTGTAGTAGCATTTCTGTATAGGTATATATTTATAATGTTCAAATCTCTGTGTACTATATTCTTAAGTTTGCATGATAGAATTATAAACAATTCATAAGTTGTGTTAGTTATAACACTTTATGATCTTGTAGACAGATGTGCACCTTGCCGATTAGAACTTAGACAACTTATATACAGAAAGCAAGAACAACATGCGTCAGGCATAAGAGCTCAACATTGGGCTGACAATATTGCTTGGCAAGCGGGTATATACTTTTATAATACTTTTACATTTTTTACAAATTATTATAGTTATTTAAATCAAATAAAATGATATTTATAAGAAAAATAATTATAAAGATTGTTATAATATTTTGTTATTTTCATAAGTAAATAATGTATTTAATTGTGATCATAATTTTATGACAATACTCAGTTTTATTATTAGCCTTGATAATAATAGTATATTATTTTATATACAGAAATAAAATAAAATAATACAGGTAGCATACGCTAAATAGTTTAGACTATACATAAAACATTTATTTTATAAATAAATTTATATCTTAATTAAAAATTTAAATAAAATTAGTAAATGTTTATGGTTATTTTTGGAATAACTTTTTTTAGAAACTTTACTTATATTAATTTTTTTATTTATAAGCTTAATAAATTTTTAATATGATTTATATAATGTATCAAAATTAGTATTTTTTAAAATACATTAAATAAAATAGTAGATTTCACAAATTCTAAATGAAATCATATATATTTTTAAAGGTTGTAGGTTACTGCCTAGTGGTTGGCGGCCACGTGGAGCTCTTATAGCTTATCTTCACGAGCATAGAGCAGCTATAAACCGATTAATTTCAGTGCCAGATACTAGCCTCTTTGCAAGTAGTTCATCAGATGGTTGCATTAAAATTTGGGATGCTAGTAAAATGGAAGGACGAAACATAGCTAATCGTTCACGGTAGCTAATTATCATTAACTTTATTTAAAATTTGTGTTTGAGTTTTTATCATGAGAAAAAATATTTGTAAATCATTTAATAATTACAGATATACAAAACATATTTTTTTTAAATCAAAAGCTGATAATGGTTTATATAATTCAATTAAAATTATCTGTGCTCTTTTATTATTGTGTACATTAAATAAATTCTATTAATATAAATTGTAAATTAGAAATCTAATAAATCTTTAGTTAGGAATTTAAATTGAATTTTAATAAAATTAAAAAAAAGAACATGATTCTTCACAGGCAAACTTATGTGCACAGAAGTGGACCTTTGATCGGCCTTGTTGTTTGTGAACAGGGCCAATCAATAGCAAGTACTGCTAGCCAGTCAGGCACTATTTTCGTACTAAGAATTGAATCTAATTCTAGTAAAATGAATGTTACATACTCTAGACAACTTGATTTACAAGAAGAAGGCTGTGCTGTAGATCTTCAATATCTAGATTCAGGATCACAATCAGTATTAGTTTATGCAACTCTTTACGGTTCACTGATAGGTTGGGACTTGAGATGTCCTGGAACTGCTTGGAGATTGGAAAATGACTTGAAACATGGTGTTATTACTTCTTTCTGCATAAATAATTATCAGCAATGGTTGACACTGGGCACAAGTTCTGGAGTACATATTTGTTGGGATTTAAGATTTCAATTACCAATTAGTAATATTAAACATCCCACTGGTAAATAGATTATTTTTGGTAGATTATATTTATTTGATGTATACTCAATATTTAAAAATATATAATATATTGAAATATTTTGTATACATTGTCTATAAATTATAGGAGCACGAGTTAGAAGAGTCATAACCCATCCGATAGAACATTCCTGGATAATATCCGCAGTTCAAGGAAATAATGAAATATCTATGTGGAATTTAGAGACAGGTTTCCGTCAAATGGTTCTATGGGCATCAAGTGCACCTCCTTTGAGTCACTCACAAGGTGGACACAGCGTTTGTGCTATGCATTCTGCATGCATAGATCGTTCAGGATTTTTACTGGCTAGCGGTACCGATATGAGATTACGATTTTGGAATTTACAAACACCAAATGAATCCTACGTTGTTCTACCTGCAGCTAACGATTCCCTTGCGTCAAACTCTTTAGCATATGAGTAAGCATTACATTTTTATTACATTACACTATATATTGAAAAATTATCAATGTAATTGAAATATGACATTTATGTGTCCTAACTGTGATGACAACATACTTTTTATATATATAACATTTTATATTTTTAACTACCTCATTTTAATGTCGTTTTTGATAGTAATAATGTAAGACAGAAGAGTAAGTAAATTCTTTACAATAATCTGTATAAATCATGATAATCACAAGATAATTCTACAAATAGTATTAAATGATTATTCTGTTGAGTAACTGACTCAATTATATCAATTGAATAAAGTTGTAATAAATCTTTTCTCAGTTATTTATATGTAAGTTTTAATTAGTGGACTGAAATAGCATGAAAAATTATGACTGTTACTTTTTAATTTATTTTATTGTCTGATATGTAAATAATTTTTTTTGTTATCTTATAATATTCATTCTTAATAAGTATTCTTACAATATACAAAAATGCTCTGCTAATACATTCTAGAGCAATTATAATGCAAAAACAGATAACTAATATCTATGTGATAATGTAGATACAAAATTAGCTGTAATGAATTTGAAAATTTATTTATAGTAATTTTGACACTATGTACATATAACTTATCTTATCTATTTCATAGTTATTTTATCATATTTCTATTAAATATTTTCAAACGATGACAATAATTCCATACTGCTTTATAATAAAATGAATATTATTTTCAAATATATTTTATTTAATGATATTTTGGTTACATCATTTAATTATCTAATACTTTAGATGTTTTCATTTCTGTAATAAAATAAAAGGTATTTTGCTACTCATCTTGACAGAATTGATATTGTGTTATTTAAATTTTCAAAAATAAATATTTATATTAAAAACGTTTTTTGATTTTTTTTAATTTTAATTTAATTAGTTATATTCGTGAAAATCATAAATTATGTACCTTATTTATTTTCTTCTATTTTAGCAGTTGTAATTCATAATCACTAATTTCAGTATTTGAGTTTAAGTTTTATTTGATTATTTCTTTTTACACATATGTATATGTATAATTAATGATCTTAATTTATTTAGGAATTAAGAACTTAAAATTGGCTAAATTTAGTTTTTTGTAATAAAGTTAGTCATAATCATAAGCAACATAAACAGATGATACTATTATAATCTTAGTGAATTAGAGAGTCTGAATAATATCAATTAATAGTTTATACATCAGTTGGAATGTAAAATTGACTATTAAGGTATTACATCAATGTCTGTATCAAGAATATTTCTTATTAACACAATGAATCTTTATGAGAAAATATTTATTGTCACATGTTAAAAACAAAAAAATATTTGCACTAATTTCTATAACAATTTCTCACACTATTTTTTCATAAATAATGAAGACAATACTAATCTGCTGCACTTCAATTAATGTATAAGATTACATGTAACTTAAATCTTAACCTTTTGACAATATTATGTTTTTAAAGGTTGAGATATTTGATGAGATATTACTTTCTTATGGAAAGAATTAAATGAGTAACTATAATAAAATATAATTGTTTATGATTGAAAACATAGTTTGTTAGACTTAATCTCCCTATTTTCAAAAGTCCAGAAAAAAAATGAATAAGAGCACAAGTGAAGAGATTTTTTGAAATGTACATAAAGCATCTTTGCAGTGTTTACAAGTATCTTAAAAAAGTAAACCTATAAAAATGCACTTAGAAGAAATTTTTACTATTAATAATATGTATAGTAAAATTGTAATTGTCTTATTTATAATATTTATTTGCTTAAATAGTGAGATAGATTGATGTATCGAGATTAAATTGAATATTTCATCTAAATCAAACCCTAAAATTAGCTTCTTATTCTCAAATATTTTGTCAAACTTATTCCAAGCAATTGCAATTAGTTATTAGTACTTTGAAATAAGTTCTGTTGTGTTATGACTTAATAAATCCTTAATATATTCAAATGTTTTTAATCTGATCTGTTGACACTCTCAATCACAATTTACATAGACTTAACTCAGAATATAAAATGACTTTTTTTAATAACCCCTAGAGCCAACTAAGTGGATACTGTATGAAAAAACTAATAAAACTAGACTTGTAAATAGTTTAAATGGTGCCCAATACACATTATAATTTTATTTTTATCGACATTTAACTTATTTGGTTAAAATAATATTGACTTGAAACAGTATGACATTATTAATAATTACAAATTTGTAAAGCAGGTAGTAAAATTATCAATGTACTTTTTATTATTGTTAACAGGCAAAGGCTGATAGATGGAACAAATGTAGTACAAGAAGTGCTAGCAAGTGGAATAAATGGCCAAAATTCTAATAGTACTTCAGGTATTCGTAGTCGAAATATTGAAGAAGGCGGTCCTGGCCCAGAGACACTTCATCCTGGTCATCATGATACTATTTCAGCAATCACTATGTCAAATACATGTATACTTACCGGTAGTACAGATGGTCTGATACAAGTGTGGAAGTGATTTTAAGTAATAAAAAAAAATTATTTATATTCTGAGCAAAAATCATATAAGACTACAAAAAATATAGGTATATTGTATTTAGATATAATAAATATGTTATATAAATTGCTAATTTCATATAATTCAAATATAATTATATAAATGAAATCCATAAGCTTACTGATTTCAAGTACAAAATGTTTTAAAATTAATAAGTTAATAATAAATTTTTTGCATAATTTTTTTTGATAAAACATTTTTACTCTACAAATATGGACAGATTAGATATTTTTATTTTTATTTATAGTCTTAAGTCATTGGTTTTTATAAATTTTTAAAAAGTAAAATTTCAAATACTGATTATAATTCGTTTTTTTTAATAAATAATAATAAATTAATTTTTAATATTTGTTTTTTATAGTCTTTCCAATTAAATTTGTATAGAATATTAAAATTTATATTATTAAAATTGATAAAAATGAAAAATATAATTTATAAATATAATAATAAATAAAACAACAAATTATGCAATTGAATCAATTAAAGTTAATTTCAATATCTCGTGTTTATTACATAAAAAAGTATATAGGAAAATGTACTCATAAAAATTGGATTTAATCATAATATACTGAAAATTTTATGTCAAAATTTTATTTAATTTAATAATATATTTCATTATATACTATGTATACATATACTTTTTAAAAATGGTAAATATATTACAAGATTTTATGAAAATTTTAATTCTATTTTGTAAATGACTATATTACAGATGAAAGCAGTTTTTAAAATATAAATAATATTTAATATAATAGTTTTGATCAAATAATATAGTAATACTTTTTATTTATATATTGATTACGAATAAAAGCAAATAATTATGTGATATATTTATTCAAAGTGTTTTATATCAAACAAATTTTCAATTACTAACTTTAAACAGTATAAAAATCAAGATACTATCAAAACGAAAAAAGAAATTCTACACATTTTATAAATGAGCTTTGGTCAAATAAGTTATAAAATAAATTGGATTAAATTATGTGGTTTTTTACTTTCAAAGAGGTAAGAAAACTAAGTTTTAACATTTTAAATTTAAAAAATAATAAATTTAGTAATTTCAGTTAGTTAATCAACCATATTTTTCCAAATTTTTGATGAAAAAGATTGTTCATTAATTAATGTGAATAATCATAGCTGGAAATTAAGGGAATTTGTTTAGTATTTTCAATTTAATAGATAGAAGATGCAGAGTTTCACCCATAATTATACCTTTTACTATGATATAGTATTTTTAAGTTAACAATTTTATTTTAAATAGAATTAATAATCTAGTTTGTAAATGGAAAATTTTTTGTGATACTCATCATAAAAGTTAGACTATTGTATTATATTATTAGATTTAGTATATTCTGTAATATCATATGTTTAAATTTTCGTATCCATCAATATTGACATTTTACAAATATCTATGCATATTTATCAATGATTTTTATGGATTACGATATATTAAAAAAATTATTATCCCAATTACTTTTAATAAAATTCAGGCATTTTAATGAAAATGCATAAAATTCATTAGTATGATTAGTACATGCAAAATAAAAGCAATAAATAAATATTAAATTATTTTTAATATTTACCATAAATTAAGGCATTTTATAAAATAAATATACTATATAAGTCAGCGTTTATTCTTGAGAGAAAATTTTAAGCCAAGACTTTATTGATAAATGATGAGTTTCATGCATAAATTTTTTATAAGAAAATTGCTAAATAAACCGATTTTAGTGGAAGATTAGGAAATATCTGTTGTATTCTATTACTGCTTGAATTGTTTTCGTGTCTTGAAGTTCATAGATATTTTTTGTCTCTTGAAAATGATTAAAAAGTATAATTACAAATATTATATTTATTTTTTATATTTTAATTTAAAAATAAGCGTTAATTTTTATAATACAAAATAAATAAAATAAATATTGACAAGATACAAATGAAACACATTTGACTGAAAATAAAAAAAAGATATAAAATATTTTATAAAAAATAAATTATTGTAAAAAAATTGTATTTTATGATGCAATCTTTTATTTACAAATAATTAAAATATATTATAAATTTTGATACATAAAAAGTGAAGTAAAAATAACCATGAAATATTATTGACCATATAATACTGTCGGTATTAGTATATAATATTAAAAATATATGATATAGTCATTATCAATATATAATATTATCTATATGGTGATTGTATTAATGAAAATATTTTTATTTTGAAATAATTTCACATACATTACATAAAATTTGAATATTACACTCAGTAAAATTTAACTATTACCTGTGTACAAATCAAAAACCAAGGTGGAACAATTGGAAGAATGACTGCATAAGAAGATCTTTGTAATTTCAAATCATTTTTCTACAGTACAGAATACACCAATTAAATAAATTTTTGTTAATCCTTTAAATGTTAATAATATGTAATATACAATATAAAATTAATACACGACAAAAAAGTAGTAATTTCCAAAATTTGTTAAATCTTTACAAATTAAAAATTATAATATATAATTTTTCCATAGACATATAATTATTGTGAAAACTATTATGTTAATAAAAAAATAATAAATACTCATGGTAGCACAGTTATAACATTTTTATTCTTGTTGTTTATAATGTTATTATAATGCATTAAAAAGTTGGAATATAGAAGCAATGTAAAAAGTATTTAAAAATTCAATATCATTTATGTTATCAAAAAAACATTCATCTTATTAGACAATTTTTTGCGCTTTTATAATAATATTAATTTTAAAAATTGGTGAAAATCATACTATTAATATATTAATTAATTTTTCTATTCAAATTAATATATTAATTTGGAAAGAACCATATTTATTTTAAAAAATTGATAATTTAGATTTATTAAGGAAACTAATGTTAACTTCTATAAATCTAATAAATGTTTTGATATTTGTTAAATTTAACGTTGATTAAAAAAAAATCTGTTTATTTATGAATTTAAAAAATTAAGAAGTTTCATATATATTTTACTTATGTAATAAAATAATATATTTTAGCTTTCTAATATTAATCGATATATTTAGAAATATATTAAATAATATATTTTTAAAACACAATGAAAATTTTTTAAATATATATATTAAAATTAAAATTATAATAATAACACAATTTAAACATTATTCTAAGAATAAACATGTTAAAATAAAAAATTATTAAATAAAATGAAAGAAACATGTCTATAAATACATAAATTAAAAAATGTTATAATTAAATATTTGAAATACAAAAATGCACATATATATATGTTACAATAAATTATTTTAATATTGTAATTGTTTTCTAGTTTATAAAAAATGCCTGTAATTTTTTATAATAATATAAACAGCAAAAATTTACTTTCCAAAAGATTATATACTACAATATATCTATTTATTTATTTTAACAATTAAATATTATAATTTATATTGGATAACTAATGAACATAATTATAGAACCTTTTCTAATTTTTCTATTTTATTGAAATCTAATAATTTGGGTTGAATAAGATATTTACAAATGCATTTGTCAATAACCATATTTTTCCATAAATTCGAATTTATATACAACAAAAAGAAACATATTTTGCATGTAGAATTTAAAACAGAAAAAACAATTGATAGCCATTTAATTACTTTAATACCTGAGTCTTAAAAAAATAATGAGTAATAATATATAATAGAAAATTTCAAATAAAGTTGAAAAAAAGAAAAAAGACAATTAAAATAATAAAAAAATATTTAAAGAAAATCTTATAATAAATTATATAAAATAATTTATAAAAACAAGCAGTTAAATAATGAAATTTAAAATACAAATTAAAACTTACTCTAAAGAACTAATGTCTTAATAGATACATAACAAATAAATAAAATAATATTTAGAAAAAATAGAATAAAATGAATAGAAAGTAAGAAAACTTGTAAATTTATTTTAATTAAATGAAAAAAAAAACAAATAAAAATATATATAGAAAAAAATAGAAAATAAGGATATGAATAATAAGTATTCCTTATATTTATTTCATATAATTTTTTTTTTTTGCTTGATAAGATAATCAACAGTAATTTAGAATAGAGTATTAAAATTTGTAGTTTTATTTATTAGTATTTATATAAAATTAATTCATTTGATAAAAATTTCATGCTTAATATTTTTTTATGTACTATATATATTATGATATAAATATCATATTTAACTATATTGATAATTAATTTTGTTAATGTAAACAAATAAAATAATGTTTATAATGAGAACAATCAATAATAATATAAACATCTTTATCTCTTCAACAGCTAGTTTGTCTCTACTTAATGAGAGTATTTTCTTCTGATTAATAAAACATTTAAAATCTTATTAAAACTTAAATTTCTATTGCTTAATGTGCACTGTAAACCAATTAAGTAAAATACCAACATAATTGATATTAAATATAATTATTTTAAAGTCATTTGTATGAAATTTGTAATATTACATATTAGTTTTTTAATTATATGAATAAAATTGAATCATTTCAACAATTGTCATTTATATTCGCTAATTTTAAATAGGAAAATTTATAATAATTATAATAAAATGTATAACTATAAGTCAATTATATTTAATTGTATATAAAGGCTATTTATTCAGAATTAATTAAAAAAAAATATTACAAATTTTCCCTCAACTCCCTCTAATTTATTCTTATTTTCTTTTTAAAATTGAGAAATAAATTATACGATTTGGGAACCGATACTTAATATAAAAAAATTATATAGATATTAATGAATTCAAGTATATATTCAATTCTTATAAATTGGTCTTTTTGTGTTCCTTATTTTGAAATAAGATAAAGTTAATATTGCAGATAAACCTAAAACCAATAGTTACGAACATATTATAGACCACTTAATTTATTAATAGTAAACATTACATTTTTAAGATTTTATTGATAATTCTTACTTAATTTCCATTTACATTATTCATTAATTATCTTACTGTGAATATCTTTTATTAAAGAATTGATTATCAAATGTAATTGATTAATCCGTAACTGAAGTTATGTTACATATATTCCATATATCAAGATACAAAATTCCTTTTGTTTACCAACTTTTCTTACCGTACTACGTATAGATTATTGTCACCTTTATTAGACGAACACACACAAAGGCGTATATATATATATATATATATATACATACATAAATGTAAATAAATTTTTCTTAAATATAGCATTTTATAATTTTATTCTTTAATCTTCATATTTCTAAATGCTATAAGCACATCTCTTTTTGTGCATGTAAAGTTTATTTAATACTTTATTACAATTTATATTTTGTTAATACTACATGTATTGCCAATTTTTATTTTCTATCGTATAATAAAGTAATATATGATATTTTAGTATTATAAAATATATTCCAATATTCTTTTTTTTTTTACTTTCATTCTATGCAAATATATAACTACTAATTTGGTATTTACATTATGATAATTATTTTCTTATTCTGCTTTATACCTTATTTAATACTTTATAATATATTCAGTTTTTTTAATTTTGATATTGTTAAATATTGTTAAATTGCTGCTGTATCCTCTTTCTTTTTTTTTGAAATATTTTTTATATTTTTATAAAAATTGAATAATAAAATATAATTCTATTAAATATTAAAATTAAATTCTATAAAATAAATTCTATTTGAATTACATTATGAAACTTTACATATATATTTATTTTTCTATATTTATAATTTATATATGAAAAATACTGTTTTTTAATATTATTTATAACTAATATATATTGATAATTATACAATGAATATAAATAACTGCATAAGTTTTAAATTTACCCCTTTTTTCGTTCTAATGTTAATACAAATCAGAATAAACAATATTTGTATATATTCTTAGAATATAAATATGAACATTTACTAAACGTATGCATGCATTGTTGTTATAAAATTTGAAACTTTAAATAAAGAAAAATACATGTAGAACTTAAGCCAAATTTAACAGTACTTACTAAAAGTATTTACATTACTGTCTGAAAGTAGTTATTTTTTATGAAAAATTAAAAAAAAATATATTTAAGGCAGTAATGTGGATGCAATAACGAGCTTCGACTATGAATCAAAACAAAATATACAAATAGTGCTGAAAGATGTGTGAATAATTTAAATCGTGTATATATAAAACTTTCTTTTAATTGCCTTAAATAGTGATAAATTGATTTAATCCACAATAAATATACAATCTCACTCAAGGTTTTCTTATAAATGTTTGCTGATAAGTAAAATCATTTTTTATCTTTAACGCTAATACAATATTAAATTTAAAAGAGTGTTCTAGTAGTTTATAGACTTACAATAAAAAATAAGGAAAAACAAAATCTACCATTTAATTTGTAATTCGATTATTAAATATATTTTCAACGTTTCACATCACAGACAACAAATGCGATTATTGAATAGATTTTCGAATAATTACAATAAAATAGTTATACATTATAGTGAATTAAAATAATTATATTTAGTTTTATATTTAATAACATTATTATGTTAAATAAATTATAATATAATATCGCCGCTGTTCCCGCAGTAATGAGAATTTGGCGGGGACTACCAGGCAGTATCGGCGCCCTCTTTAGCGGTTTGATAAGAATCAAGTTGCAGGGGCCTAACCGATTATGTTGACGCGGGGCTGCAAGAAATTATGTGTAGTATTAATAAATTGTTGGAGATGCCAGTCTATGTCGTTGCCCTCAAAGCGGTCTGACTATCATCACGTTGAGGAGGACGCATCGATAGCTGGTCAGCAATATAGAATAATCTATATAAACAAATGAGTATACCTTGCACGGATTCCCTTAGACGAGTCCAACTTTCACTGGTATGACTGGCACTAATTTCACTTGAATTACTCAATAAGACTAATTTCCTTCATCGTTCGATGCTCCTTATATATGATTGCGTACATTTAGATGGAATGATACTTCCCCGTTGTCGTCAATCCACAGAATCCGTTGTAGGTTCCAGTAGTCCTTATGAACCTTGATTTGCCTGTACATCTTTGTAATGTCTGTTGAATATAAGTACTAGTGTGGGCGTTTCCAAATTAACACATCGGAGATTTCGGGATTTAAGTTGGGTCCAGTGTGCATAATGTCGTTGAGTGATACGCCTGAGCTGGTTTTACTGGATCCATTAAACATTACCCTTAATTTCGTTGTAGCCCTGTCTGGTTTGAGCACACCACGATGTGGCAAATAGTAGTGAACCTTGTTAGAATGGGACAAGGGCGGAGCTCGCTTCATATGATGGAGGTCCTTATATTCCGTCATGAACTGTTGGTACAATTGACGATGGTTATCATCTTTCGCCAAGCGCATCAGTAGGCTTCGTAGGCAGTGATTGGCTGTGCTGAGGGAATTTCCAAGGGCTTCAGTTGATTCCTTAAGTGTTATATGAAACGTATAGAGTCCCATGCGGTCCCTTGAATGACTTCAATTGTACTGGTCCTCACACCACTGCTCATCAGGTGTGTATAGATGATCTGGGTCCGTTGTTACCTCTTCCTGCACCCAAAATCGGGTCAATAGTTCAAACAATTGTTCGTCGATGTTGATGATCGCATGTAATGCCAGTGGTGTTCCGCTGGAGGTTGAATTCACCGGACCAACCACTGACCACCCGAATATGGACGGTTGTGCAATAGGCATTGACGGAGAGACAGAGATGATAGATGTCTGCTCCGAGCACAATGTCTACTGGTCTTGATATGAGATATTGTGGGTCGGCTAGTGCTAAGTCCCTAAGGTGTGGCCACTCTAGGCTGGTGACTACGTAATTTGAATGAATGGACTGCAGGTTGAAGGATACCACGCCCTTTGTTTTTGATGATGGAATGCCTCCAATTCCTTGCACGCTGATGACGGAATACTGTAGTCGTAGTCTTAACCTCTTGATTAACTCCTCAGTAACAAACGTGATTTCAGAGCTTGTGTCGATAAGAAGTCGAGCTTGAAGTGTGGTCGTTGTTAACGTTCTCCTAACCAACGCCGTGGCGAGCAGGGTTTTCGCAGCCTGTGGAGTGGTTGATTTGACGATTGCATTTTCTTGTCAACTTGGGAGCGCAGTAATGCTCGACGGTGCCCTTGTGCTTCGGTTCGGAATTGAGTGTAATAGTGTATGGTGTCACTCTTGATACTTACCGCATGTCCTTTTGGATCCGCATGAGTGAATTGGGTGATGCCCCAAGCATCTGTAGCATAGTTGATGTGTTCTTCTGACCTGGAGCTTGTTCTTAAGTGACAATTTCTGGATATCTGGACATGCAGTTATGATGTGTTGCTGCTGGCAGTATGAGCACTTGTCGTTTCGTGAAGAAAGATGTCGATTTTGTTTTGTGTGTACCGACTGATGAGTGAAACACTTGGACTGACTCTTTTCTCCTTAGTTTGGATGCTGAATGGGTTTCTCGTGGTGCTATACGACTCTAGTTTGTAAACGCTCTCACCTTTGTCATCATGAACGCATAAAGTTGTTCATTCTTGGGATAATTGGTAGATCTCCCTAATGATTCCCCCCATTGTTCTCTAATGTGTTGAGTGAATCTCTGCGTTGCTTGATGGACCATAATGCAATCCCACGTGTCTTCCTCTAGTTTTAGCTGCCGCAATCTTGTCAGTAAATCACTGAACGAAACCTCCATTGCATCGGCTTCATCTTGAACGCGTGACGTATTGGCCAGCAGTTGATTTAGATGTGATTCGATGTATAGTCTTCAATCCTCATACTTTTCTACTAGGCTGTTCCACGCTGTTGCAAAGGAGCCATTTGTTTTCTGGATCGTTTGATGCTCCTTATATATGATTGCGTACATTTAGCGTTATAATTCTTGGAAACGCTGGTGAATTCTCTGAAAGCAAGCTTTAGTACGTTCGAGAAGCTTTCTTTGTTGCTATGCGAACATAGCACGCGGCTTAAATGTCCAGCGAAATTTTCGTAACGTATAATTCAAATATTACGCCTTAATATAAATATAATGTATCGGAATCGTATTGTACCAAACGATAAATTATTTTTTTTGTTAGGTAGTTCAATCCTTAACATATACTAATAAGTTTAAATCTTCTTGAAAAATCTGTTATGCTGCTATTCAATATGCACAATAATTGTTGTTTTTTACTTAAAATTTTAAATAAGAAAGAATTGAAAAGAACCTATTGTTATTTTTTGTTTAATATTCAAATTTTTTTACAATATAAAAAGACATAATTTCAAAATATTTAATTAGAAATATGTATATATTAATAACTTTAATATTTATATATAAAAATAAATGAAATTAGTAAATATATATGCAAAACAATATCATTTTAATTTTACGTTAATGAAGTCACGCATGAAAAAATATATTTAGAAACTATTGATTAAAATATTAAATTTAAAACAATAAATATATAAGCAAGTTATGTCAAATTTGCTATTGTTGATAAATTGAAAAAACTTTATATTTTTTTTCAAGCAAAAAAATATTGATACTTAGTGTAATATTGAATAGGACACATTAAAAAGGCCGATAAGCTTGAGCCTCAACTATGCATATCTCAAACAATTGTATAACTCGGTAATTTCCTTTGTAGCTTCGTCAACGAACCAATAAAATCACATTACTGTGATATGACATTAATGTGATAACTTAATATGTATTTTTAAATATATACCATTAAAACATGTAATTATATCAATAATTTATATAAATTTTTTAAAATTGTATATTAAAATAATGATTTATAAAGACAAATCATTTGAACAAGTTTCTCAAGAAATTATCAAAAACCATCTTAAATTGACAGCTTTAATTCAGGTTAAATTAAGTAAATTATAAACATTAAATTTCCTTTTACTAAATATATTATAAATTTATAGGATATACAACAATGTACAGGCCCATTAGAATATTTAAATGAGCTTAATGCAATTGGTAGAGACAAAATTACAATTCTTAGGCATCACATCGAACAACTAACAAATCTAACTAAATTTGAACATGATAAAAAAAAAAAAGCTGAATTATTATCAGATATTGATAATCACAGAGGACAATTATCTACAGCAATAATTGCTTTTCGAAAAGCAAATATAAATACTGCTTGGGCAATAAATAAACTGTCACGAGAACATTTGTTATCAATGCCAGTTAAACAACAAATTTTAATGCGAAGAAAGAAAGATCAAACTAGTGTATCAAAAGTATCTAGGCAGACAACAGATCAGCTTTTAGACATTTCAAAATATTTATTACAAACAACACAAAAAAGTGGAGAAACTTTAGACACTTTAGGTCTATATTTATGTAAATTATTGTTATATTATTTATTATATTCTATATAATTTTAATAATATTTGTTTTAGTTGTTTCATCAGACAAGGTTTTTAGTACAAGAAAAGAACTAGAAGATCAACAACAAGTTATAGTACAATCAGGAAAATTATTAGGCAAATATGGTAGACGAGAAATTACAGACAAAGCACTAGTAATATTAGCCTTTATATTTTTTCTTGCTTGTGTATTTTATATTATACAAAAAAGATTATTTTAAGATAAAGTTTCTATTTTATTACAAATGATTAAAGATTTATTATTAAACTGTCGCTTAATTTTTATAATGCCTGATATTATTTAATGTGTAATAAGAAAATTAAATTTTTTATGAATTTTTACAAAGGACTATAATAAATAACTCATAATTTATTTATAGTTATTTTATGTATAGTTCATAAGTCTTTCTTTTATCAACAATTATAATTTTGCAATTTTAATAGAACATCAAATATTTTGATAATTTTATATTCATTTTATATACAATTTAAACATGATATAATATATATTAAATAATTTTTATCTGAAATATTTAAAAATAATGTTATCTTAAATTAATTATCAAGTAAAAAAATAGTATTGTAACTTAATAAAACCGATAATTAATTTTAAGATAAGTAAATTATTAAATATTACAATTATTTATTGTCAGAAATGCAAAATTTCTTTTACAAAAGTATATTCAAATGAAAATACATAAAATATCAAGTTAAAATACAGAAGGCAATGAAGTATAAAGTATTAATAGAATTATTTTATTAAACAATAAAATTTGTATATTTTTAAAGATATTGAATATTCTAAAATATCAATTTCATTAAGTTATTAATATCATTAAATTAATGAAATAAATATATGAAGCAAATAAAACATTTTCAATAACTCAATTGCATAAATTAAAAAAAAAATTAAATTTCTTGTTTAAAACAATATTTTATTTATCTTATACTTTTCACATCTTAGAAGAAATTATCAAATTAATAATTCTTAGATCACTCATTAAATTTAACAAACTCTAAAATCCAGTAAATAAACTTTTTAACCAAAAATGAATTTTATATATTTATACCCAAATACATTTTATTTCTTAATTTTAATTCTATATTTATTAATTAGACTTAATTATATATATATATAAAATATTAGAAGAAAAGTATTTTTGAAACCCCAAAGAATTGATCAATTATTAACATAAAACAAAAAGAAATTCAGTTATTTCAATTAAATACTTTTATATATATAGATATATACTTAAATTTGTTCGTGTATCTTTTAGCATAAACATGTATATTTTATGAATTTCTTAAATTTAAATGAATAAAAATTATTTAAAATATTTAATGGTTTCATTTATTTACTAATATATCTTTTATTCAAATATAATAAAATTTGTATTAATAATTTTTTATATTATTACTATGAACATATTATGTGAGCATAGACATCATAGATAAAAATTTTCTTTTGACCACAAAAATATAATATAGAAGTCTTTTAATCAATTTTTCGTTCTTTAAAATTTCTAGAGTTTTATTTTATATGTTGTAGATAAATGTTATCAGTATTTTATATTATTATATTTTCAGTAATTAAAAACAAATTTGTAGATAAAAAATATATCGCTTTGTCATTTCTTAAACACGAATAAATGAATAAATAATTTTCTTCAAATTATTAAGATTTTATTCTTCTATCTTTCAAATTCATAGTTCTAAAACTGGCATTGAATAGTTTTGCCAATGCTGTGAAAGCTATCAAATGTTTGATAATGGCGTCAATTCATTAATCTATAAATAAAGATTTCAAATTGTAAGTTTATCAAGTACTATTGATTCTCGAAAAAACTAATTATTTAAAATGAAACTTATTTAGAAAAAATTATTGGAAGACATTAGATTTATAAAAAACCAAATAATTAAATTATTTTGCTATTGAAAAAATATTAATTTCATTCTTTGCACTTTTGAATAAGACAGACGTGCATTATTTTTATTAATAAACTCTGATTATAAAGTTTCTAATTTGAATACAAATTATAAATATAAGTATAAAACATTATTAAAAAAAAAATAAAATATAGATAATATAATATAATTTGATAAAAATGGTATAGAATGCTCATGTAAATTTCATTGTAAAAATTCTTTTACTTAACCATATATTAGCTATTACCTAATGATGGTAAGTTTTCAATAAGAATTTCAACGCATGCGCGTCATGTAGTAAATGTGTGGTAAATCATTATAACTAATTTTAAAAATTCTAAGGAGAATAGAAATAGAAACAATTAAACTGTAATATTTAAAAAAATGTGTTCTACATTTCTAAAGATAAATTTAAAAATTGAAACAGTATGCATATTTGGATATAAAAGATAAAATAAATATGTATGCATGCATATGCGTATTTTATTATTCGAAAATTTATAGACAGCTATTAAAGTTGTAATATGAGTAACATTTTAGAGCTCTCATATTTAATACAAATTCATGTTATCTAACAAGGTATTTTCCATGTTTATTTTTCATTAGAATTAAATTAAATAAATTAAGAAAAGTCATATTTTTAATATTATCAGTAGTCTGTTTTTATTTTTACTGACAATAATAATTATAAATAACTGGTTATTAATACAGTTTGTAATATATATTAATTTTTTAATAGTGAACATAATGCTATGTTGATTATATAAAAGAATATTTGAATTTAAAGTTATAAATTTTGGCAGTTATACTAGTTTTTTTCCATTTACAGATTTATTTATATAAAATTATAAAGTTATGAGTGCAAGAACACATTTACATTCACGATGGAAAAAGAGACATAGCAAACAAAATAATACAAATTTAAATATGAAGAATTGCAGTATTTCTAATAATACATGTTTATCAGATATTGTTACAAATCCTTTCAAAACTCAAAGTAACGATAAACAAGAAGATGTATACATTGGTTGGGATTTATTTTTTTTTAATGAAAAATATAATTCTTCGATACTTCAAAAAGTTCAAGCAATGCAAATGTTTTTTAAATCTAACCCAGAGTTAATTGATCTAAAGAATTTAAAAAGTATTTTTAAAATTGACATAAATTTATTGTATAACAGTCCAATATTATTAAAAAATTGGTTTGACTTCAAATCTGAATTAAAAAATAAACCAGAATATTGTTTAAATTGTATAAAATTGGCAATATATAAGAATAAAGTTAATGAGCTTAGGACAATAACTAAAATTATTGATAATGAAATTAAAAATTCAAATGTTATAGTCAGAATTTTAAACTATGAACCAATAGTATCTTTAAAAAATATTAAAATAAATTACTATGGAAAATTAATAACAGTTAGAGGTTGTATTATAAGAGCTAATAGGTCTTATCATATGCCTTTATTAGTAATATTTAAATGTAATAAATGTAATTTTTCATATGCAATTAAACAAAAGAGTGGTATTTATGTACCAAAATATAAATGTGATTTCTGTGGAAATATGAAATTTGAAGCAGATTTAAGTTCATCTTATATAAAAACTATTCCAATTCAAATTATTCGTCTACAAGATCATTTTCATGAAGAAAGTGATCAAGGACAAATACCTAGAGTAATGGATATAGAACTTTGTGAAGATTTAATAGATACTTGTATGCCTGGAGATGATGTGACTATAACTGGTATTATTAAAATGCAAGGTATAGATAATGGTAAAACAAAGTTTAGTACAATATGTTCTCTTTATATAGAGGCAATTTCAGTTGTCAATAATAGTAGTAAAATGCAGATGAATGGATCTTTAAATATTGAACTAAATACTTATGACTATAAATTAATTAAAGATATTTACCAAAATACAGATGCATTAAATCTATTAGTCCATTCATTATGTCCAGATATATATGGACATGAAATGATTAAAATGGCATATCTTTTAAGTTTATTTGGTGGTAGTTCCAATCATGTCAAAATACGAAGTAATATACATATATTGGTTATTGGTGATCCTGGCTTAGGTAAATCTCAAATGTTACAAACTTGTGCTCATGTTGCTCCTAAAGGTATATATATATCTGGAAATTGCAGTACTTCATCAGGATTAACAGTTACTTTAATTAAAGAAAGTGGGCAAAATGATTTTGCTTTGGAGCCTGGTGCTTTAGTTCTAGCTGACGGAGGATGTTGTTGTATAGATGAATTTGATAAAATGTCAAGTCAGCATCAAGCTCTTCTTGAAGCTATGGAACAACAATGTGTAAGTGTTGCTAAATCAGGTGTTATGTGGTCTTTACCATCTAGGACTTCAATTCTCGCTGCTGCTAATCCTGTTGATGGATGTTATAATAAATCCAAAACATTAAGTAATAATTTAAATATGAGTCAATCCCTTTTGTCAAGATTTGATCTTATATTTCTTTTGTTAGATGAACCAAATAAGGAAATGGATAATTTTTTATCTGGACATATTATGCTAATGCACAATAATAATGAAGAAATAATAAATCAAAAATATAAAAGTAATAGTAAAGAACAACATAATCAAATGAATTCATTAAGAAATAGATTGATTACAAAATCACAATTTTCATCTCACACTGTGCCATCTTCTCTTTTACGTAAGTACATTTTATATGCACGACAGTATGTAAAACCTACATTATCAAGTGCATCTGCTACAGTGTTACAAAAGTTTTATCTAAATCTACGTAAGAATATAAATTTATCAAAAAGCATTACTTCGTGTAATAGACAGTTAGAAGCACTTATTAGATTAACTGAGGCTAGAGCAAAGCTAGATTTACGTGAAGAAACAACAGAACAAGATGCAATGGATGTTATTGAATTGATGCAGAATACTATACTTCCTTTAAATTATAAAAATCAAGATTATACATTTTTACAATTTACTAAAACTTGTAAAAGTCCTACAAAAACATTTTTTAAGCTTTTGGTTAACAATACTAATAAAAGAAATAATAGCTTATATTCTATAGATGAATTAAAGAATCTTGGAGTAAAAGAAGGACTAGTTGAAATTGATGTATCACTTGCAATTGAGAAATTAAATGATCAGGGATACCTAATTAAGAAAGCTAAGAATTTATATCATTTTTGTACTAATTAATATAAATATATTACCATTCATTATGTATATATATATATATATATATATTGTTTTTTTAATTTTTTTAATTTATTGTAAACGACAGATAAATTAATTAATATTTTAAATTATATTTTGCACACATTTTTATTAAAGAATTAAATCATTTGTAAAAAATTAAACAAATATTTATTTGTAAAGTAATATCAATATCTAATATGATTACAGTAAAAACAGAATTACATTAAATTCTTTAAAAAAAAGTTTTTAGTTAAATTAGTTTTTAAAATAAACATTTTAAAAACGTGATAGTTTTAATAATTTTAATATATGAATTAATATTTATTTCTATTATTCAACACTATAAATAGTTTTTAAGAATACTTTAAATTGAAAAATAATAAATTTCCATTCCAATTTATAAAATAATATATCGAAAGACATAAAAAGTAGTTATTGAGTATTAATTTTTATACTAATTCAATTTATACAACTAACAAACATTTATTCATTATTATTCATATAATCATTAATTTTATGACAATTTACCAGTTATTGTTAGTATAAATTCAAGTCTGTACATTTAAAATGTATTCAATGTTGTAATGATGCAATAAATAAGCAAAATTTTACTATCATTGAACTGATCTTGACAGTGCACTATAGAGTAAAATTTATTAAAAACTATTTTAAAAATAAGAATAATTAGTTAACGCAAATTATTAATCACAGCTGTTGTGAATTCAGTTGTTGAACTTTGCCCACCCAAATCCTTTGTGAGATATTTTCCATCATTAAGAACGCGATTTAATGCATCTTTTATTTGTTCTGCATAAGGTCTCAAATTAAGATGGCTCAAAAGTTTAACAGAACATAATATCATGGCAGTAGGATTGGCAACATTCTTGCCTACAGCCTCAGAATAAGTGTGTCTTGCACCCTGAAATAAATCAGTTTTAAAATTAAAAAATTTTATATATTTTTTGAAATTTATTATTAATACTTAATTTTTAATTTTATAAAAAGCATACAAATTAAAATATATAAGCATAAAATACGTAATGAACAAATACCTCACATTCTATCTTTATAAGCTGATACAATGTCTCGCATAATTCATGATAAATAAATAATTACTTAATTAATTAAAAAAAATTAACTGAAAATGTATTAAATTTGATTTTACCGGTTCAAATACGACACACTCAGCACTATAACTAGCTCCAGCAACAACACCAGCACCACCAACTAATCCTGATGCTAAATTGTCAACTATATTACCATATAAATTTGGTGTAACCATTACATCAAATTGATGTGGATTAGAAACCATTTGCATTGTACAATTATCAACGATCATAGTTTCAAATTGAATTCTAGTTTTAAAAAAAATATAAAATTACATACAATAATAATACAAATTTTAATAATGAATTAGAATTGTTATTAACATTTTACATACCTAGGATAAAGCTTAGCGATTTCTTGACATGATTTTAAAAACAAACCATCACCAAGTTTCATTATATTAGCTTTATGAACGCATGTGACTTTTTTACGCCCATTTTTGACTGCGTAATCAAAAGCAAATTTTGCAATTCTCTGACTTTTAGTGGCAGTAACAATTTTTAAGCATTCTACAACTCCAGGAACAGATTCATGCTCTAAAGCAGAATATTCACCTTCTGTCTGTTCTCGAATAATTACGCAGTCTACATTTTGGTGTCTTGACTTTATTCCTGGTAATGATTTAACATGGACTACATTAGAATAAAGATCAAGTTCTTTACGTAATTTCATATTCAAGGTTTGTAGTTCTCCACTATGAGAATGATCAGGACTAGCCAAGATTCCCTGGAAAATGCTCAATAATAATTAAACTTGTTTACTATTAATTACTACATATAAGTATAAATTTTAATTTATATATGATTATATTAATAAAAATTATAAAATATATTTAACAATTATTTTAATTACATTTTCTAATTAAATAAGAAAAATACTAACTTTTAAGCACACTCCATTTTTAGTAATACTGCTAGATACTTTTTCTAATGGTGCACTAAGCGTAGGATTTACTTCGGAGAGAAAATATGGTTCAAATTCAACTGGAACATTTGCAGCTTTAAATACATTTTGTATACATAAAACTAATTCAGGTCCTACACCATCGCCTGGAATTAGTGTACATTTTGTTTTATATTCTGGTTCAATAACCTGAGAATAAAAAAAATATAAGGATTTTTAATTCTAATTTGAATTTTGAATATCTTATATTAATTTTTATATTTTTCAAAATAATATTACAATATCTTACAGATTCTAGAAACTTTGCAGAACCAATTTGAATTGTCCTAACTGGATTTATTAAGGAAATCTATAAAAATTATATTACATTAATTTTGTTAAGTAATGTTGCTATTAACATGAATTTTACTGAATTAAAGTATTATATCTGATGTCTAATTATCTTAATAAAAATTGGTTAGTACATAATATACATAAATTCAGTATATATAGTAACTTATTAATATATTTATTTTATGACTCTTAGATACAAAAATGCATAAATCCACAAAATAATAAAATGTAATATTTACAATTGGAATTATTATAACCCCAAATTAAAATTAACCATACTTAATATCTTGAAAAGCCATGAAATATCTTATTGTTAAAATTTATAGTTATAATAAATTTCAAAGCCTTCAGGTAATGACAAGTACGCTTTATTTACCTGAGATAATATTTTAAAACTACTCTTTATTAACAAAGTCATTTTTTCCGGGAAATCTCAGATGAAATAGCAGAAATCTACCTATTCCTATTATTTATTTACGAAGTAAGCAATTCGTATTTCTACACTCGTAAAGTTTATGAAAAATTTTCGTTGTTGACAAAAATAAAAATATTCTTATTCTCTAAATGTACGGTAAAAAAAAAGGTCTTCAGTGTTGTACCAAATTAAAAATAGTATGTATTTTTATTTATAATTTTAATATTCATGGTTGCATTTGTTATTTTTCTCTTGTTATTAATGTAGTAAGAAAAATGAAGATCTCGAATGGAGGATACTTAATAAATTATATGATTAGTTTGTTGGCTTGGTTACGAGAGATTTTTATCATCACTAAATAGAAAAGTAGATGTTCAAATAAGAAGGATCTTCTTTAAAAGAAAAACAGCAACAAAAGGATTAAATTCGTATCTTACAAAATATATTTTGTGCAAAATATTAATAATATAATTTGAAAATTGAATATTTTTAAATTTTAAAGCCAAACAAATTTAATAAATAAATCAAATATCAAATATAAGATATTTGATAATAAGAAAGTAAATTTTATTTCAAAGCTTTAAAATGTCACAAGAAAGACAATGTGAGTATATATCTAAAAAATAATCTAATAAACGCTTGTTTAATATTATAATTTTCTTTAATATTTAATATGATTAAATATTATTTAATTTTTTCTTATGTTTATACTTTTTATTTTATTTTCAAACAAATTATATATAAATTTATAATGATAAATTACCAGAAAGTATCTTAAATATTATTTTTTATTAAGTTAATTAAATAATACATTACTGATACTATTTCATTTATTTTATAAAATATGAAACAGTAGACTTATTAATTAGTAATTATAAAAAATTTAGTATTGAATATGTAAATTAAAAAAAGTTTAAATGAAATAAATATTAAGTGTATCATACAAAAGAATTTTACTTTTTCAACTTTTATGAAATTGAGACAAAAATAAGATGAACCTGTTTATTTGGAAATAAATTTTTATTATAAAAAATGGTTATAAAATTGAAGATAGTCAAGATTTTTATAAAAGCCCATATATAATTTTAATGTTTTTGTTTAAAAAAATAATTGATGAAAATATAATTAATACAATTCTAATGCATTAGTTTTTTTATTTAGCTATATATTAGGTATAATTGTTTGGATTTATATAAATATATAGTACTTATGTGCATTGTAATAGTTTACGTTATTGTTTGCAAATTACTATTTATGGTTATTATATAATAAATGCTTTATATAACATTGCTATATCATTTAGATAACATTAAAACAAAACAAAGTTTAAGAGAAAAAATATGGATTCATATGGTAAAAGAAGATCTAACAATGTCGTCTCGTAATTTATGTAATAGAATCCCATATTTTAAAGGAGCTATGGAAGCTACTCAACGTCTTAGTGAATTAGATGCATTTAAGAAAGCAAAGTTACTAATGATTAGTCCAGGCAAATCTCAAGAATCTACGATAGTATTATCTTTACAGAAAGGAAAAGAAATATTGATTCCTAGACCAAGATTAATGGATGGCTTATTTCTTCTTGTTAAAAATGCTGATGTTACATCAGAGGAGACCCAAAATGTTGTTATTAGACGTAGTATGAAACAGATAGAAAGTCCTATTGGATTTGATAAATTAAATCTCAAGGCATGTAAATGATATTACATTATATATTAAATGAAAATGCTCTTTATTATTTAAAATTTATAGTTTTCATTAAGTTTTTTAATAAATTAAGGTGGATATGCTTGTTTTGGGATCAGTTTGTGTTAATAAAACTGGTTGCAGAATTGGAGATGGTGAAGGTTTTGCTGATTTAGAATATGCAATATTATCAAAAATGAAAGCCGTAAATGAGCATACTATTATTATAACAACAGTACATGATTGTCAAATACTTGATAATGTTCCAGATGATATTTTTAATCAATATGATGTACCTGTAGATATAATCATAACACCAACACAGACTATAGTTGTTAATCCTAAATTTAAGAAACCCACTGAAATTATTTGGTCTGCAATTAGTAAAAGAAGACTTGCAGCAATACCTATTCTTAATGAAATCAAGCAATTAGAAGAAATGTTAGTTCTGCTTTATACATTTTTATATTAAATATTTGTTGTACACAAATAATAATTTGATTCTAACTTGAATATTATTAAATATCATTTAAATTATAATTAACAATTTTTTATTATGTAATGTAAAACTTAACAAAATTTATTTGTATTTATGCTTTAGGGAACGAAAAACGTTGGATGTTAAGGAAATAAATTTAGATTTAGAAACTCATAAGCAAGAGAAACTTCATATTAAAAAAATAATTAATAAAATACAACCAAGACTAAGCCATAGAAAATTAATTTCTGATTCTATAATTAAAGAAAATCAAAATGACAAGGATATTAGAAAAAAATCTTTTCTGAGAAAAAGGAAGTTACAAAAATCTAAAGATAATGATAATGATGATTTTGGAAACAAAGTAAGCTGTTTTAAGATTTATTAATATGTATTCTTGTATTTATTTTTCAACGGTATTTTCCGATTGAATATTTTAATTACTTACATGAAATTTTTATTTTAGTGTATTTTCAAATATATCAATATTATTAGTTCATTATACCAATTTTACAATAAGTAATAATTTTAAATTTATAGTAAATAACTATTTTTTTACACAAGTGAGAAAAAAGTTATTTGATAATACATAACATTAATTTTGCTTTCAAAATACTTAAAATAAATTCTTTATATTTTATAATCATTTCAAATAATAGTTCTATTCCATATAAAACGTTAATTATTGGTTCGTATGTTTTGATAATTTATAGCTTTATACATGACTGGATGTTACAGAAATGAAAAACTAAATTAGTAATTAAATAAATTATAGGTATAGACAATTTATCCTATGATTTCTGTCCGAGTATTTATACAATTCTTTTAGACAGTAAAAAAGCAATCAGGATCGAAATCAAAGGTACGTCATCGATCTGGAGGGGATCGAAATCAATCAAACTTTTCGTTACGCCTGTCGAATATTGCATCCACAGTGCGGGTACGCGATCTGAAATGTGCTCTGCAAGAACGTGGCGTTAAGCCTAATAATATAGCGTGGTACGGACAACGTGGCTTTTGCTACTTGCAGTTCGGCAAGTTACGCAAAAATACAAGTATTGACGATCAATCTGTTCAAGTCGATTCAATCATTGCGAGCCTCCAGCAACTCAAAGTCAGTGAGAACGCCTTCATTCTTGTTGAGCCAGCAAAACCTGTTACACGAATCGAAGTCACGAACGTTAGTACTATTTAGTTTATTTTCAAACCTTTTTTATTTGCCAATCTTTGTATCTGAATATTATGTATATCTTTGAATTATAATATAATCATTCGTTTTTACACCGTAAATTTTCTGTAATAAAACTGATTGTGTCAGCTCTGAAAAATAACTTTAATTTTTCAAAATAATTTAATTTTATTAACTATTAAATTAAATTAAATTAAATTAATTTATAATGTATTATATACTTGCAATGCTTGCTACGTAATTGTCAGATTTAGTTATAAGTTTAGTTATAGTTATATATATTTATAATTATTTAAGTTGTATATTTCCTGAAGAATAATTTATTATTAAATAAATGGAGTAATCGTTGTAGTTATTGTTATTACATTTATTTTATAAATGTATTATTTCTCATTAATTTATTTTTTTTTATCATCAGTTTGATGTGTTGATTAATAATAAATATCGTAATAATAAATATTTTTTCTGTTTGTGAATGCAACTTCTCATGATATTAAAAGTTTCCAATTTACCTTAACAATAAAATATATTTTCATATTTATATATATCATTAGTAACTTCAACTTCATTCTTTTCTACTCTGTTTCACAAAATTAATTTTTTTTGTTTTTAACAAATAAACTAATTTAGATTTTTGCTTTAATATATTCTTTATATACTGATATTATTTTATTGAACATTGCAACAAAATTTTGTAAATTATAAAATTAATTAACCCTTTCACGTTTTTATATTCTCAGATCTGTCATTGAACTACTTGTAATAGTTAGTCGATCAGTCGCTTAACTATGGTATAATTATATTGATTTCACTATACGCAATATTTGAAACCTGAAAGGGATAAATGTCGAATAAAAAATGAAAAAAGATTAACTAAAAAAATGCTATTTCTTAATGTCTCGATGTATAGTTGTAAACAAAATGACAATAAAATTTATATATACAGACACTTGTTACTGATTTTGATTTGATCATGACATTCAAGTAGAAGCCTGCAGATATATATATATATATGTATACACTTTTTTTAAAATAATTACTATATAAACGACTTTGAAATTATTAATATACTTTTTGTATGAATGGAAATGCACTTCGACTTATAAAAGCTCTGAAAAAACCTCTTATTATAATGTATAAACTACAGTCAATCCACTCTTCGGAAAATAATTGAATAACTACTTTAATACCAATGTGAGTTTTATTTTATTCTCTTCTCATACCCTATCCATTTATAGAAATTATTAATATTTTATCATTTTTATTATACATGAAGACAAAATCAAGTTTTCCTAAGATATTTCAATTAAATTTAGTACTCTAAGTATTTAGAACATTTTTTTAAATAATTGAAATAAATGCATATTAGCAAAATATTTTTATATACCAAATATTAATTTGCATTTAACGAGTTGAATTATTTTAAAAAATTATAATTTTCAAATTATTTTTTACCATTTTATTATTTTTTTTCATGTGTTATTTAAAATATAATGAATTAAAAATAAATAAATATTAAATTTAAATTCATCGAGAATAATAAGTTACGCATATACAATATGATATAGTATTATTTATTTTATCTGAGAAATCTAATATTTTCGGTTATATATTATATATATATGTATTCTTTAATATATAATAAAAAACTTGTAAGTACTCCTAATTATAAATGTTTTATTTATTAATTTTGAATTTATTTATATAGACAAATATTTTTAATCTAGGCAATAATAATTTTAAAGATTTCATTATTACAATATCATATATTTATGTATTAACTATATAAATTAAAAGATTTATAAATTTTTTAATGTTTATAAGAAATAAAAAAAATAATGAAGAATATTGTATATGTAAAAATAATTAACTATAAGGCATCTAATATAAAAGAAATTCAATACTTCTTAAAATACTTCGAAATGGATTTGACTATTTAGACTTTATATATAATACTGTATCACTACATTCTTATTAAGTGAATGATATAATTTATCATTTTCATTTAAAAAAAATTTGTTTAATATATATTATTTATTTTTCATTATACAGTTTTATAAAACTAGAGTAGCTCATCAACGATTTTATAGAAATAAGTTATCTAAATAAAACAAGTTAAAATAATTATATAAAATAAATTAAATTTATAAATAGCATAAAAATATTTAAAAACTGAAAGGTTAATGTTTGAAAATTGTTCGGGATTGGATCAATTTCGAAGAAAAAAACGAGCTCTTGGACTCATGTTTGTAAACATTGATTCTGCGAATTTTCGTATAGTCTACGCCTTATTTTCTAGTGTCCAACAATATTTCCGTATAGCAGCGTAGATTGAAAATTCCCGAACTTTCCAACTTTCCCTTCTGGACGTCTCGAATATTCTTGAGCTTCGTTCTGACATCATCAAGACTTTCGGCTAGCAATAACATGTATAAGCACTGTTGTCAGCGTTTTAAGCTGCCACGCGAATATTTAAGGGCAGCCACGACTCACCGAGGCTCACTGTATTTTTAACGATCATTCACTCGTCAGTTATTTCTCATAGTATATCTCAATCAATCAGTCATCAATTAATACAAACAGCCACTAAACTCCGCCGCACAAGAGTCAATCAATTTACAATATATACGCACATAATTCTGTCAGACCCTGCAATAATAAGCCAGTAACCCAACAGTGAAGCCATAATAATTTATAACCATTTAAATGCGCCATAGTTGAGCAGTCAAGAGCGCTGATTGCATTTCATTAGTGCATATTAAACTAGAAGCCCACCACCTACAAACTCATCACATAATTAGGTAAGACATGAATTTCTGTGAATTTAATTAAAAGGGCAAATAGTCGATCACAAAGCTCGTGCGAACGGCTGAAGGTGTACGGTAAATTTTTGAATACGTTACCATCACGTGGCACTACACGAAGAAGTACCAGAGATGTATGACCTCTTACTTTCAGTGTAACCATTTAGTACCAAACACAATATAGAATCAGGAGATTTACACCTATCGCGTCATGTAGTGCATACCAACGCCATGTGACAACTACCATCAAGATCTCATAGATTCTCAGTACCATCTTAGAATCATATTTATGTGTAGTCTGCAAATAAATAAAGAAAAAAACGCCACGATATGCTATGTGCTAATATTATATAAATACGCCTTCCTCTTCCACTTGCCAGCAATCCTCCTACCGAACATCACTGGGAGGTTTTAGTCTAATCCTAGACAAAAATAGTTTAATAAAGGACATACTGAAATATATTAGCACAAAAAATATTACAAATTTTAACAGTATTTACAAGTGTTTTACTGATACGCAATTATGCAAATTTGTAAAGGAATTTGATAATAAATGAACATATCTTCATATATTAGTGAAATAAAAGTTCTTTCCATTCATTTTTCATACTAACAGTGAACTGAATTACTTTTATATAGAAAAACTTTCATTTTACTAAATAAATTATGCTAATTAATTGGGATATTATATTCTACAAATGTTGATATCGTATATTTCCTAATATAATTTAAAAATAGTAATATTTAAAATTTCAAAAAAAATTATAAAAAAGTATATTTGGGTATATAATAATTGGTTTATTATATATTTTTGTCTTTTTTGATCGTGAAATTGAATATTGCTGATTGGTTAAAAAATATAAAGGAACGTTCGAAATGCGAGGACAGTTATTTGTGTTATTTTTATTATTTATTTATTTGTTATTTCCTAAAAAAATGTTTGCATACGCGTATGCGTAGTACTTTCTTCCCCCCAAATATATATATATATATATATATATATATATATATATATATATAGAAGTACGCTCTTGACCTAAGTTTGATCTGCTTTTCTAATATTACAAAATAACCACGTTAATGGGAATGACTAATAATGACTGAGATTTTATTTAATACATTCCATTTTTTTTTCTCATCTTTTTTTTATAAAATTATTAATCGTGCGTTTTTAGTTAAACTCTTAATGTCAATAAAGGATAGGAATAGGATAGAAAATTTTTATATAATGCAGGAGAAATTACTATAAGAAAAAGGGAATACGTTGAATATAGAAGGAAACAATATAAATGTTTGATCCAATGATGATCCACTGGTCGAAATTCCTTTTGTATGTGAAAGGCTGTTAGAAAAAGGCAGGTGTCGGATTTGGTTTTGATTGAAAACAAGAAGACGATCAAATCTAAGTAAGATTTTCAAGTTATCTTCTTTTTTTATGCTGCACGTACAATAAAAGCTGCTTTTACACAAGTTGTAACAAGTTTACACAAATATTTTAATAATAATATAATTTGTGTATGTTGGTGCATTAATAAATTAGAACATAATGTTTTTTTGTGCAGAAGAATTACTATATTAGAAATATAATTATTAACTAATTTATAAAATATAATTTATATAATATAAAATATAATTTATAAAATATAAAATATAATTATACACAATGAATATTCTTAGTTCAACGATTTCAATCATTTTATAAATGATTATAAAGTTTTTCAATAATAAATTTTCAACTATATAAATGAATATCAATATTAGAATATTTTCCATTGTTCATGAATAATATTTTTTGATGTCTTATTGCTTGAAACTTTTGTAAACAAATGAAATATAAGATTTCCCTATGATAATGACATTCTGTATTTGCATAAGCCATGACTTATCGTCTTACGGGAATAGTACGTTATTCTGTTTTATGTAGCAATATGAAATTTATAGATTTTATAACAACAAATTTTTATTAACAATTCTTAAGTTCCAAACCTGGGAAATAGTGTTTCTAATTAAAACTGTAGAAACCAATATTATTATGGGACCAAAGTGTATAATTATAAAGATCAAGGATTTTTAATATTTTAAGTAATTAATTTCAAATGAAAATTATTTCTTTTCTGTTTACATATTTTTGTATATTAAATGTATTGATGCCAGCATTATAATTTAAAAATATTTAATTACGCTAATGAAGAAAATATAAATATTGCAAATATTGTATATAAATTCTAACTATGAATTATTTATTTCTAATAAAATTTTTCTATACAATTTTATTTAAAAAAATATATAAATTGTATATTTTTATAGTACTTTTTATCATCTAAAATAGAAATTCAAAATGTGTTTGTTGGATAGTTTTTATAATAATAAAATTATTTTTATATTAGAATATTTATTGTTGTATTCCTCAATTGTATTCTACAATTTATTTATATATACTACTTCGCCTAATATCAATTAATTTTATTTGTTTTAAATTTAAATTGGTAAACCAACATTTACATTTATTTTGCAATATTTCTCCACTTTAATAAAAAGATGTGTTAATAATATGTCCATTACATATTCTAATTTCCTTTATATCTTTTGTATTACTATATATTTCTGAATAATATTAAAAGTTTTTATGGTCCTTTATAAATTTTTTCATTTTTGTCAAAAGTATAATTTCAGAATTTCGAGTAAATAGTGCTTTATTATTAATAATGGCGCCCTTTAAAAAGAAATTTAAATGTATATTTATAAATCAGTTACTAGAATTCTATTGTTAAGACAATTTTATAACTTTAACTTTTTTGTTATTGTTAATCTACTTATCTTGATAACTATGATATGATTAATTAGTTTTTTTTTACAGTGCAATACTTTATTTATTAATTGTGTATTTGTCAGTAATAATTTACAATAAATATATCGATTACATACCTTTTTCTGTAGTAAATACCGCCATAGTTTTGTATCATTATTTTTAAAAACAATGTTATCTTATTATATTTGTTATATTTATTGCACTGAATTAGGTAAGATTATTACATACTGAAGATATTCTTGACAAAATTCACCAAATTGAAATGTTAACTTTCAATGTATAATAGTTAATAAATTAAAACATTAAGAAATTTTTAAGATTCAAATTTACTAGTATAAATTATAGATAAATCAAAGATTTTTCATTGTTTAGGTTTATTTAATAATTATAAAAATATCTAATTTAGAAATTAAACACTATTTTGGAAACTTTTGGTTTTATACTTGTGTATAAATGTACGTACAATAAAAATAAAATTCATCTTACAGAAACAAACTTTTCAACAAAATATAGTTTTTATATTTTATCTAATATAATATTAAATTTTTTAATTAATTTCATATTTAATCTGAATAATTTAATATGTATAAATTCGTATTTTTTAGAATGCCTAATGTAGATAATGCCGCATTAGGTAAACGAACGTTTAATATGCGTCCAGACATAAAACTAGCGACCGCGGATGTAACATCAACCATAACAGCGCCATCAATCAGCAATCGAAATGATGATATGTTGATAACAAAAAAACCGTGCTGCCGACGAAGGACTGTCCACTTTACCGTTTTCCTAGCCGTTTTTTCTACGATACTCAGTCTTCTATGGATATATACGTTGACAGCCGAGCTTAGGTGAGTTAATAGCAGTACATTTGTATCGCTTGCATCTTATTGATTATAATAAATAAACTATTTTTTGTTATTTCCGGAACACAAATATCTTAATTTGTTTTAAAAAAATATTTTTTGGACAGTAAAGTAGGAGTACAAATATGCGTTTTTCTTTAAAAAGGTGTATGGTAGGGTATAAATCAAAGAATCAACATCTTGTATAGAGTAATCTTATTTAAATTGATTAAAGTATTATTGCATTCTCTAATAAAATTTTATTCTTATACTTTGATTTTAATTAGCTTTAAAAATTTATGAAAATCTATGAAGTGTCTTAAAACAGAAATACAGAGGGATAGCCACATAATATGGATAAAACCATTCATGGATTATAAGGATTGTAATATATCATCATGAATTTATCAAACAAAAATATTAGAATTTTTGTTTAATAAAAAACATCTCTCTTTCATGCATAAGAATGTAATACATAATCTATGTAATAAATATCTAAGTAAAAAAAAAAAGGGTTAATGCATATAAGGTAACTACAGTGCAAATCAAGTTAACATTGAATGATTTATTTTGAAAACAGAACTATATATAAAAAAAATGCTTGAAACAACATTATAAATGTTAAAACTTTTAAAATTGATAATAATAATACATCATCTTTTGCTATTATTTTAAATTTCATTTTCATATCTGGCAAAATATACATTAATTAGAAAAAATAATCGTAAAAAAAAAATCTTTTCTATAAAAGGAATGTAAATATATTGTCATAAATTATTTAAAAAAAAATTTAATTTATGAAAGATAAATAATTTCATTTTATAAACTTTATTTCCTTTATTTGCATGAGTACAACTATAGTATAAAATTACATTTTATACTAAAAAAGATATTGAAAATTAATATTTTTCTATATAATAAATATATTATTTTATTTATTGCAGCATTTTTATTTATTTATGATACATATACAGTAAATTTTGTACCTATGTCAAAAATTGTTCGTGGGAAGGTATATTCCGATACCAGAAGAGAAACGTTGCGTGTACACTTTTATCAATTCGTGTGGATTATCAATGACTATTGTAAATTATATATTGAAGTATCGTTACTAAGCAAAACCTCATCGTTTAAATCCTTACGCTAGATTTGCAATAAGAAGACAAGGAAGGAAGGTATCTTGCCTTGTACCAGCTATAATTGCAAATGATAATTAATGTTAAAATTGAATAGATTAATAATATAATAAGATTCACTTGAATATTGCAAAGCATTATTTCCATAAAATAAAACAATGAAATTTGATTTCACATTGATTAATATATACGTTACTATAAATTATATGTAATTTAAAATTATAAATAAAATCTAAAAATAGACAAAATATGAAATATTTTTTTAACTATAAATCATACTATTTTATAATTATCTTAATCCATTAAATTTTATTATAATATCGCATAAATGTAAAATAGTAATAAATTAACACAATAAGGAGAAAGAAAATGATTTTTATATTTACGAAAATGTTATAATAAAAATTGAAAGATTTCTTTGTATTTAAATTGATTATTTTATTTAAGTATTGAAGCAAGATTTATTAGATGAATATTTTATCATTAGGATGATATGTTCTATTATTTCTATACATATTTTACATAAACTTAGAAATGATTGAAGTTTAAGTATTACATAAATCTTTTTAATAAAAATATAATTTACATATAAGTGTATGCTAAAAAATCTTATTTAACCAAAGCTTGTATAATTTATTAATAAATATAAGTAATACATGTTTAATAATAAAAATTAATAATATTTAATCATTATATATTCTTATTCTAAAATATTTATAAGTTATTTTATATATACATTGTAATAATTATATATTATTTAATTTAAATTAAAGAATCTTTCTTTTTGTAATACTGTTATAGCTTAATGGATCATGGCCAAATTAGTGCTTTTATCTAAAAGAAACGAATTTTATGAAAAAAATTACATAGCTATGACAATTAGAATAGCAATATTTAGCTATTAAAAAACTTGACACTGCTTGAACCACCAAAAGTAAAGTAGTTACATCTAAATATTTAGTTTTAACAGTGTTCTCAAGTATTCTGAGGAATGTAGTACAGTAATTTTGTAATATGAAATAATATATTCTTTCTTAATTTCTAATTTTCCATTATATTCTCTCTCTTCATTTTTACATTCTTTTACAATTATATATATATATATATATATATATATATATAACGTTACTAAATAGGAAATCGATAATTAAGATTTAAATAAAAAAACTAATAATAATTTTTTTTTTTAATATCGTTTTTTATATATTAATTGTATTAAAACTGCCAAAAACTACATTTAATTTAAAACATAATAACATTTAAATGTATATTGAGGAAAAATAAAAATATTTTATTTATTAATAGTTAACAGAATATTTCATTACCTATACACTTAGAGGCTATTGTTTTCAAATTAATTATAATATTTAATTATAAAATGCTTTTTCAAAATATAAAAGTATTAGTAAACTGAAACAAAGTTTGTTTTATTTTTTGTAGAAGAAAGGCATTCGACGTGAATATGACGAAAGATTATGTGCTTTATAATATCTCTATAGACAACCCAGATTTAGTAGCATACATAAGGAACATTCGATTAAAGACATCTCATCAAGACTTGTTAAACGCTACTCGAACGCCAGAAGAGCAGTTTGTCGTCAGTCAACTACAGGACAAACGTGAGGGAGTTTACTTTGAGTACCTAAGCAGGGTAAATGCGCGCGCGCACGCACACACACACACACACACACACATATATATATAATATTTTTGTTAAGAATTTCTATTAACTATTGTTTAAAAAGTTTTGCAAGAGTTGATATAAAATTGATAGGAATACAAAAAATAATTCTATATTACAAATTATAAAATATAAAATATTGCTTTTTCCTTTATATTCATAAAGGCTGGTGCCATTTCAACAACAGCATGGCTTGAATGGAATTTAAATTGGCGAGGAGTTATTGTCTTTACTGATCCACGAAATAGAAGTAGAAGAAATCCAAAAACAATTGTGTTTCATGCTTGCCTTAGCACTGATAAATACATCAAAGAGGTATGAGTTAATATTATAATATAATAATTTTCTTCCATTTACTCTATTTTTAGTTTGTCACCCCTCCTCTATATATATATATATATATATATATATTTACTTATATATTAATCTATTAATCTAATCTATTTAATCTTCAAAACAATTTTATTAAATATTAAATAAATTATCTTCTATAATCTTAATATAAAGTTTAAGATAATTATTAAATTTACTGTAGATATATTTAATAAATTACATTAAAAATTTGTTCAATACAAAAGCTTATTAAACATATGTTTTACTATATAAGCAGTTCCATTATTTTTATTGGAAATATAATGTGGAATTTCTATTTTGTAATTATACATGAGTTATGTACGAAAATGAACAATACTTGTAGGAATAATTTAATTTTTAAAATATATTATATTTAAGTAATCAAGTTGTAAGTGGTTATTAAATTGTGAAGAGATAAGATACAGAGAACCTGCTTATATTTACTACAATAAATTAACGTGATTTGTGCAAGATTTGTAATATTCCGTACAGGCTTGTGTATAGTTATCCATTATTTAATTTGAAATGTAATTAAACATTAATATTTTATATCATTTAGTCTATTTAAAATATACCAGAATTATTTTATTCAATTTTATTTTATATGTTCCACTAATAGTGAAAGTAATATTACAGAATTGTACCTCTATCTATCTTATTTTATAATAAAGAAATTTATATATTATATATTTTGCATTAAAGATAAACTTACTGAGTATCATTCATTTTAATTTGAATTCAAAAATTCGTCTATTTGTGCAATAACATAAAAAATGTGTTTGTAATATATATTAAGTAGTTTTTATCTGCTAGGAAAGAATTCTGTTATTTAAAATTGCTTAATAATATAAAACCATACTGTACCATTAATCATAGCTTATGATAGGTACATACTGTTTAAGTTAATAATATTTCTAAATGCAGATAACATATCATCAAGAAGCTGATGTACAGGTCATGAAGTTGGGAGAGGGTCATAATAGCCTTGTTCTTTCTAAAGAGAGTCTACCAGCAACAAGATTAATGTGCTTTCCATTATACTCCATTTTATTAGCTTATAATACAACCAACCTCGATTATTTGAGTTTGGACAGCACTGAAGTTCAGGATGGATTGGTAAATTTTTTAATGAAAATTCCTTTTCATTTCATTATTTTGAGTTGATTTTAGGTTCAGTTTTTGTTTTTATCCTCTCTCAAAGTACGCATCAGAAGGTTAAAGATTATAAATCTTAATAATCATATAAAATTAAGTTTCTAACTTACAGATTTTAATAAAAACAAAATTTATTAGTCCATTAAATTAAAAGTTTTATTTTAAATTTGATATAAATATATATTTTAGAAAGAAAAAGTCAATTGTAAATGTTTAGATAGCTTCATTTTATATAATTAATTTATAGTTGTTATAACATTTTCTAATATTTATTTAATATTTCAATTAATAAATTGATGTACATTATATTCCTTTTTATTATTTTTCATTCACTGAATATTATACATAACTGTAAGTTAGAATTCAGTTTTATTTATTACAAATACATTATAATAAATGAAAATATATTAATAAAAAAAAATTAATAAAAAAACTGGAATTATTTTTTTAAATATTATATATATGTACAAAAAATTGATTTGCAAACTTGTCTGTTTTAAAATTAATATATTTAATGCTATATTTTAGAATTTCAAATTGAAAAAGATATTTCTTGTAATTCATTTTTGTTTCATAAATTTTTATGTAAAATCTAAAATTATCTTTTTTAATGTAGTAAAACCTTTATATACCTCATTATATATACATATATTAAATATAATTTAAGAAACATAATCTATAATATATAATTCAGTTGATTATATTTATCAATATTTGCAAATATAAAATCCAGTTAAAATGTTAGAACAAATATTTTTACAATAATTTTATATTCCTGAATAATTAATTGAAAATTACTGCTAATTATCAGAAAATATGCATGTGCATACTGTATATTTTATTTTTGTTATTGATGCCTTAACTTTATGTTATTTTAAAATTAAGAAATTTATGATGAGCTTCATCTTATTCTTTATTGATCTGTAGGTATTGGATACAGTTCCGTGGGATCTCATAAAGATATCAGTGTTATCAATTCATTGGGGTGCTCACCATACTGATACTGAGACAAAAAGCATCATTAACAAGCTTGGTAGTCATAATTACAAACATGTTAAAAGCCTTGTAACGGGTAAACTTCTTTTCGTTTACAATCGTCAACTTAAAATATGAAAGCAACTGAAGTCTGTACTCTCTTTATTGCTATACTTTGAAAAAGCAATCATAACAGCAATAGAAATTATAAGTAATCCTGAGACTGAATAGTGTGCTATCTAATTTTGATCAATTTAATTTGAATTGGATTATTAACATCTCAACGATTCGATTATTTTTAAATTGCAAAAAGTAAAATAACAAAAATATGCAAAGAAATTAAAAAATATACTTATGATACTGACATACATGCATATTTTTTTAAAGTAGCAATACGAAATATAACTGATTTAAAATTTTAAATCAATAATTTAGTATTAACATTTATGAATATTTATATAATTTTAGTATGAATATATAAAAGCCGATCAACTTTATATAAAAAGGAAATATTAATATAATTTAATTTAGAAAAATAACAAGTTTATCGGTTTATTTCAATTTCTTATAAATTGTAAAAAACTGACTTATAGAAAGAGAATAAAAATTTGGATTTTAATTTTAATTTTACATATGTAAAAAACACATTATATATAAAAATTAATCTAATAATCAATAATTTTTCTGATTAAAATAATTAATTGTGATAGCTGTATAATTCTTAAGAATTTTGCACATTGTTTATTCTATTTGAATTATAAAAATCATGTTTTGTGTAGTAATTTGAAGAAAGCTTATTTTCTATAATTTATTCAAAAATGAAATTTTTTATAACAAGGCTGCATAAAAATGAAATTTATTAACTTATTTTTATATTCTTTAAATATTTCTTATGAATTCAGACCGTGCGTTACCGCAAAAATTATTTATAACACTTCAAATATTCAGTATTTTCTTAATCAAATAGTATCACATGTAAGTAACGAATTATAATTAAAAAATAACATATTTGTATTGATTTGCAATAAGATTCTAAATTTTACATGAAATAATTAATGATATTGTTAAAATCTATTTTGTGTAAAAAGTAAAGTCTTATGTAATTATTGCTTATATATTTGAAATTGTAAATGTATCCATGGTTATTCGATACTTATCTACATCAAAGTAATGATTACTGATACATTAATAAAAATATATCAATAAAAGCGTTACCAAATAAAAAAGATTATTATAATATGTTAAATAAATAGAAAATTCTGTAACATCCATATTGATCATAAAAAGTACATAATGCATTTAAATTAATTGTACAAAAAATACAATTTTCAATACAAGGTATGAAATTGAAATTTGAGAATAGTAATAATTTTCATTGATTTTTATTTAAGGTACATAATAAACTTAAATAATCTCGATTGTATTAAAATTGAAGCTATCTGCAAAATAAGTTAAACTAGTACTTATTTATTGATGCTTGCAAGATGGCTAATAATTTCTTTAACTCAAATGATGTGTTAAGTTGATAGTGCCCTCAAAATACTGTAATGTTTAATTTTTTATTATTTAGTAGTTTGGTTTTATTAATATTTAGTGAAATTCATTAAATTATATTAAATATTAACAAATTTAATTTAATCCACCAAATTGATATAGTATTTCTGCTATAATAACAATAGGATATGCTTCTTATTGGCTTTACAATGCAATTCTTTTAAATCCGTCAGATGTGGTTTTTATTGTCATTTGTTGATTTATCTTTCACTTTCCGAAATATATTGTAAGAAGAGTTGTATCTAATTTAATCATGTATTTATCAAGTTATAAAAATGTTTAAATTGTAAATCTTATTTACTTTTGATTTTATTTTTGTTATATATGTATATATATATATATATTTTTTTTTTTGATACTTAAACAAGGTATAGCAAAGGAAAATGGGTTAGCACTTTCATTTATTATACTATTATACCACTACAGCATACTATGGATTTCATATTTATTAAAGACATACATCAAGAATATAACAAGTGGCCTGTAACCCATAAAATAAACAACTAAACAAATTTTGTGTATTACTATATTTAATTGATTCAGTTTTCAATATTATCTTGGTTGTAGCATTGATATTATTGTCTTGATTTTCAACTTACTAAGATTTATTAGCTTTTATTTTCTTCTAAATTCATTCTTTTCTCATCTTTTTTACGCTGTAATTTAACTTTTGATAACATCTTTACTAATCATTTGTATTATTTATATTTATATAATTAATACTAATAATACATAACATCATTACTAATTTTACCAAATGTAAATTTGTTTATCTTTTATTATTTCTGACACTAATCATTTCTATAAATTTATCAATATTAATTTTTATTATTGTTAAGTATATATTTCCAATATTGCTGCTATTTATTTTATAATTCATCTCTGCAGGTTTTAACTCATTGGTATTTGTTATTCATTATAATTTTTCTTATATTAACTAAACCATCTATTTTTACATTACAGTAATCAAGTTTCATCAAGTTACCATGTGGAATAAATTATTATTGGTATTATAACTTAATCATCACTATAGCATAGTTCCATTATAACTTTACTTATGTAATTAAGAACAGAACTTGAATATATGTAAAAATACATCTGGTATTAATCTTACATTACAAATGTTTGTATATATAGATTATTCATTTTACAGATTTTCTAACGCATACATTTTTTCATTGCAAAATTTTATGTAATACCAATGAGATAAATATGATTAATCACTACTCTATGATTCACCTATAACTCTGATCTGATCAATGTGTTAAGCTATATTTAAAATTTTTTTCCTCACTATAGCTTATAGCACCCAAACGTTTATTTTATTTCATAGTGATTTTTTTAATATCCAATTTTTAGTCACATTCTTTACTAACTCAAGGATTCAATAATTTACTTAAATATAATATATTTATTATGCTAGTTAATTATTTATTTACAAGTCAACCATAATTGCAATTTTATCATCTAATCTTGTAACTATTTTAAGTACTAGAATTTCTTTTAACAAATTCATAATATTAAAGTATCTCCTATCATTATTAGTAATTGTTGTTCATGCAGCTGTAACTCATCCCTCGAATATTTCTCTTGATTAGTTTATTAAGTAAGTTTTTAATTTAAGACTTCTATTAAAGTTATATTCTCAATTTCCTTTGTATTTTCATTTTATTATTCTACATTCAAGTTGATCGTTTTATCATGCCTTAGATATAACACATACATCCTCAAATTTATCCAATTGGATTATATACTGTAGTTTGATAGCAAATTCCGAAAGATACATTTATAAATGTTTTTTCTTTTATTAGACTATTTCTGTTTCAGCTCTACATAAGTATCTTTAGTGAGACTCACATATGTGTTCGGAATTGAGACAGTTTTAATTCAAATTTTAAAATTGGGAGCGATTCCAGGAATTCTTGTCACTCCATAGTGTCTAATATGCGACAATATTTTCGCATAGCAACATCGCAACGGATTTCGGCATAGCAACAGGCTATGGCGCTTTTGTCGGCGTCGCAACTATGCCGCAAATATTTAAGAGCAATGCACCACTGCTCACGGTGTTTTTTACTATCAATTCGTTAGGGTTCATTGAAAATCTACCTCGCGTTCACTCAACTGTTATTATCACTCAGTATTTTAATATACTGTGACGACGACACGTGGCTGCAAATTCGGCAATCAATTTAAAAACACACCTGGATTATCAAAAGGAAATCAGCAAGATTATGAGTGACTTTACAGTGAGGCCTGTTGGAATCGTAATCAAAGGGGGCACGCCAGTTACGCAGAAAATCAACATGCCTTGTCGGTAACTTACAAGGTATCAGCTACTTATCAGCTAATCGCACACGAGCAAATTGAGTTTCATAAAACTCGTCTTCAAGAAGTCGACAGGTGATAGGGTACGCTCTCTCGAATTAATACTTCGTCATCGTGCAGTCCCTTAAACAATCGACCAATTGACGCAACACGTTAATTTCATTGTTAATTACAGACAATTCATAGAAGAATCGACTAAATGCATCTTCAAGCCTTCAATGCTCGAATGCTTGTAATCATGACTCGTGCGTGTAACTAACCTTTCTACTGCTCCCATAAATAACTAAAGACATAATTGATTATGTACCAACCTCCATCAAGATTTTACAATTAGTATTGTCATTATTTCATCAAATATACTTTATTTTAAACACCATCTTCTCATGCTACCTCATGAGCATGATCGACTACACATGATGCTGATATTTACAACATCAGCATAACCTCAACTTTCAAGAAAGAGTAATATCCATAGAATCTACGATAATCAAGAACACAAGGAAACACCCTCATCACTACAATCTCTCTCAACAACAGTGCAATTGTACAAAATGTATTCGCCGTTCCAACTTGTTTTACCAAGGCCGGTTCGAAGGATACAAATTGATGCCGTTGACAAATCAGAGACCATGGGTGTTGTGTGGTAGCGATGAAAGGTCACAAGTGGAAGGGATAATATAATAATACAATATAAATATGGCTGATGTATATGCTGTTTATTCCGTTATTTATTGATGACAAGGTTGACTAGTATTACTATTATTAATTATGGAAATAATTCTTATGGTGGATTAATGTACTCTCATCTATGAAGCGTGATGATTGAATTTGACCGCAGAATGGCGCGAAGTTTAATTCGTCGACACTCGCGCTGTTTGTTGCTTAAGTCCATAAGCGTCCAAACTTGAACTAAGGTGAGAGTTGCCGACAAGACACCCTTTAGCGGGCGCGAACTTGGCGACGCTTACTGGAATCTATTCCGCACTGTTGCTCTGGGGAGAGCCTCTTCGTCCTTACTTGCTTTTCGATGTCATAATCTCTGAATCTCAGAGTATGCAATTATTGTAGTAATAATATTACTTAGGAAGACTGCTCGTACATTTGAAATTGGGACCTCCTTGGTCTTTCTTCAAGGGAGCTTGTCACTAGATCCTTGTCGTTGGAATGCGTCGCCCGCCAATAGGACTTGTAAGTATAATTGTATTGAACTACGTTAATAGGAAACTTCCAGTGTATTCGGACTTCGATAAGGTAATGCGTCTCCCGCCAATAGGACTTGTAACGATAGCTGTGGTGAATTACATTTATAGAAGACTACCAGCGTCTTAGGACTCCGATAAGGGAATGTGTCTCCCTCCAATCGGACTTGTAACTATAGTTGTCTTGAACTACGCTAATAGAAGACTTTCCACTTATTAACTGAACAGTACTGTATTGAGAGTGAGAATATTGAAAAGTGCGCCCCTTAAAT